GGGTTTCCAGCGCTATGGTTGGTCTACAAAAGGTTGGCGACTGTTTGATACCGCTAGAATGACCCAAAGTTCAAGGACAAATATGGTAAGTCAAGTTACCGTTGCTTGGTTCAAGGACCCAAGGTCTTCGGTGTCTCAAGTTCGAAGGTATGTGGCTGGAGTTTTGGCTGCGCTGGACATGGGAGCAAGACCGCCACCCAAAAGTGAGGACTATCCGGGAGCCATGCCGACTTCCTTTCCGACCACCCAGCTGGGATAGGTTTGGCGGGAGCGTGGAACAGTTGCCGCTTCCGGAACGGTCCAGAACTATCCAGAACCATTTCTTAGCTGAAAAGTCTATCATTTTCGGCCGGAACTATTCTTTTTTGGGAAAAAAATGCCGGAACTATTTCCATTTGATTCAAAAAATGGCCGGAACTATTTCATTTTCCCAAGCATTTTTCTTCCCGCTGCCCGTCTATTCTGCCATGTCCCCGAATGGCAGGATGGGCAAAGAACCGAGAAGTCCCGAGCAGCTGACAGGGCTGAAATGAGGCGCCTGAAGGTCGAGCTTAACAAGTAATTACACAGAGATCCCAAAGGTTTTGGAGCGCCTCAACAAGATGCAGACCAAGTTTCTGAACAGTGCCTATGCATCCTTGATGGAACCTCGCCTAGAGTTGGGCTAGCGTGGGCTAGTGAATTGGCTCAGCATGGTTTCAGCCTGCAATCGTACGGACGTATGGACCGTATGGACCAGGACTTTCGTTGCGAGTACCATTTCCATCCTTATGATTTTTGGGAACAGCAAGATACAAGGTAGCTCGTGGTGGCCTTAAGCACGCCCATAAGGTGTAGCTCTTGAGGATACACTGCATAACCTCCCCTGCTAGGTTCAAGACATGTTGCGTTATCTTCAGATTATTCATGTACGTTCTATCAATCGTTGAACATATGTAACATATGTTTTAACTTAAGTTACCACATCTTTAAAAATGCTTCGAAAATTAACAACATAAGAAATAGATCTGGACCGTCCAGAACTATTTCAAATATATTTTGAGAAATAGTACTGAACCGTCCAGAACCGTCCAGAACTATTCCTGAGCTAAAACCCAAATAGTTCTGGATAGTTCTGGATAGTTCCGGTGTTAGAAATAGTTCTGAACCGTTCTGAACCGTCCAGAACTATTTCTAATATATCTTTTAGAAATAGTACTGAACCGTTCTGAACCGTCCAGAACTATTCTTAAACTATTCTAAGGAATAGTTCTGAACCGTCCAGAACTATTTCTAAAGAGCCATATTATATCATGTGTTTGAACATAAATCATATTTTAGCATACTTAGTTTACAAACATGATACGCTGCCTGATGTTATTTCAAACTTATATAATTTCACTTTTCTTGTTTAAAACAATACTGTCTACTTATTCCCCTTTCTCAACTTCAAACTTGTAACTTGCATCTTTAAGCTAGCACTCCATTGCATTTCCCATGTGTCTTTTGGAATCCTGCATCGCGACCGGCACTCAATTTTACCATGCTTGTTTTGCTTACGTTTAACTTGCACACACTGATACGTACACTAACACGTGACACGCGTATAAATAGCGGAAGTGTGATAGTAAGCACGCCGCTTGTAGCATACAAATTTCCAAGGAAGAGAGCCAAGGAGCCAGAGGTGGAGAATGATGATGACAACGATGATTATGACGTGCAGCAGCCAGCAAAAAAGAAGAGAACCAGCAAAAGCAACAAGGGCAAGAAGAGAAAGCAGTCCTGAGATCACTTGAGTAGGGTCGGAAAGGATCAAAGGTTGTGTTTTGCGAGAGTTGCTAAGACTAACTCAGAGTTGCGGCTGGCGGACTATATGTGAGTTGGCCAGGATTGGCCATAGGGCTCTTTCGGCTTGAGTTGTAGCCCCAAATGTTATATAATCAGTTGTTTATTGGTTGTTCGACTTTTGACACACTGACTGAGGAAAAATAATGAGTAATGATGAGCTTCTGGTTTCAGCATTCCCTCTTGGAAGAGCCACGCCTTCCAGCCAACATGGCGGTATCTGCCCGAAAAACTCTCAATCCCTTTTCAAGAGCCCGAGTGCAGCCTGGCATTTCTAGAACATGTTCAAATCCGTCAAAACCAGCCTTTTTGATGTGTAGCAACCCTTTCAACTTGATCTTTGGGGAAGTGGTACTTATGTCCCTATCAATGAATACGTAACTGGTGCTTTCATGCCGGACATGCTGGACATTTGAAATGTCCAGCTCGGGTGGGGAAACTCAAGAGCGAGTGGCTATGGCCACTGTTTGAACAGAAAGGACTCTGAAACTTGGGGAAACAAAAAGCTTGTGCTGAGGGCTTGCTGCTTTTGTCTTGGCAACAAGGTGCCACACAGCACCTTCAAATGCCTTTGGTTCTACGGGCTCGGGGGTTTCAAAGCCAAATGAATGCACACAAAGACGACGGGAGGAGGACCCCGCCCAAAAAAAAACTCAACTGTTGGAAATGGGAAATCTCCTAAGCTATGTTTAGAGATGACCAAATGATTGGGAAGAAAACAAGATTTCCTATTTCCAACAGTTGAGATTTGTGAATGGTTGTGTTGCTTCCCTGTCTTTGAGGACTTGGGCGAATCTACCACTTCTATTCTTTCCATATAGGTTTTGGTTCGGGTCCAGCAACAAGGATAGTATGCATTAATACCCTTGGTTTCCAGCCTTTGGCAAAATGCTAGTTGCAAAATCACAACAGGACTTTATTCAATTCTTCCTTTTTGATATTGGGTATTCACTGACAAACAAAGAGTTTGAGGGCAGCTTTCAGAATGTATTCGAATGATGACGCTGATGCTGGCAGCTGGGCTTAATATTTAAGGGTGGTTCCCCTGAAAAATATCAGAATTTTCGGTTCTGGGCGAAAGTGAAGACATATGTCATGTAGCCCCCTCCATATCTTAATGAGTTTCAACATAATCCCGGTGGAATTTTGTGTGTTTTTTCATATAGTTCCAAGGGATTTTGTTTGATTTTGCAAATAGTTCCACAGGTGTTTTATTGTGTTTTTTGTATTCCTCATATAGTTCCTGATGATTTTTAAAGGATTTTTATCACATAGTAATATAGTTCTTGACAGTCCCATAGGTATTTTTTGTGGAGTCCATATAGTTCTACATACCCTTCAGCTGCTCACCATGAAAGAGGCCAAGAAAGGTCCCAACTTATGTGGTGTTTTTAAACTGACTATGATTTTCTTATAGAAAACTGCCATAAAGACACTCCTAGAATGGCAAAGGACTTCGGATTGATTGTACCAGAAATCTGGCCTTCAGAATTCGAGGAGTGTTTTGCTTGCAGATGCTCACGTGGAAGCGTGGCATGGAGCTCCATCGCCAAACTCTACCGCACCTGGTGGCGCCTTTTACAGCAAGGGGTCATTCACTTTGACCAGATCCCGCTTAACAGCTACTTGGATTGTTTCCAAATTCAGGAATATTCAGGATTTTGCTGAGCGAAAAAGTGTCATCTCGGAAATGAATTCTTGAAACTGCACCAGTGGGCACAAAGTTGGGATGTCAACATCAAAGGTGAGAGATGCTGGAGCTACTACAATGAGTGGTGGTGGCTTCGCAGCTGATGGAGACCTGACCCTAGGTGGCAGTTTTTGGTCGTTGGATGTCGTTGGATGTCGTTGTGATCCAGACAATCCAACTCAACTGGGCCCATTTACTGGGGGTTACCATGGGTTGCCATGATATATGCAGTATGTATGGGAGCCGATCGTATTTGCAAGTCTAAAAATTACGAAAGGGCATTGATCGGCGATTGCTTCGCGGTTGAGGCAACCATTTGTTGTATGAGAATCAACGATTGTGAGAGGAGAAATCAGTATGATATGGCATCATATAGTTGTTCTCGGACGGTTTGTTTGCAAACTGTGTTCTTAATAGTGATAGCCGATAGCAAAGAAGAATCAGAACAACAAAGTTCAAAGCCTACCCAACCGGGTCAATTCAGTTTTCAAAACATGTGTCGATAGAATCCGCGATGGTTCGCGGTTGATCCGCGATTGTTCAACCCACCCGAGTAGGCCCTGGCTCACACCGTGTAATATCCTGGAAAGCCAAAAACACAATTTTTTCTGGTCATTATGGGAAAAAACCGCAATGATCATTTTTTTTTGTAAACTATTGCTTTTACCCGTAATGACCAAAAAAATTGTCAAATCAAAAGAACATTGCTGTCCTACCCGTAGCAAAAGCGTATTTTAACGTGACAGCTCTCACACAAGCCCCCCCGTAGCAAAACCGTATTTTTTCGACATTTTGTTGAAAAAAAGGCCACAAAAAGCCGTAGCAACTCTCACGCAAGTGGCTCCAGACGATCAAAGCCGTAATGACCCCCAAAAAATGGTCAAGGCCGTTTGACCAAAAAAATGAGTTAAATTTATGGCTTTTGCAATATGTTAATATATGTTAATAATTTATAATATAAGCCATGATTTGACGATTCTTTGCACAAAAAATAGTGTCAGATACGACAGATTCTTCCCCCGGATTGACACTGTTTTTGATCGCGGTTGATCGTCGATTGAAGCTGCCCCAGATACCTTTTTTTGATCAACACATGTGTAGTTAATATAGTATATTCCGGTTATGGGAACATTGATTCTGCCAGAGAAGCTGGTTTTGAGCAAGTGTTTTGGATATTTACATGAAATATAAGCATGAATGGCTGGAAAATTGTTTTTGTCTCCAGCATCTACCCATTTATGATACTTTGCTTCAATCTCTTTTGAAGAACCAAAGGCAAACATTTTGTAAGATATGGGTTGGAACGTCCAGTAGTGGTCCAAGGTGCAAAACTGGGAGACCCTTAAGGCTTGTGGCTGGCCAAGGAGCAGGCCAAGAACATAGAAATTAAGGTGTAAGTGATTGTTGGTAACTTCGCCAAGACCATGATTGACGTTTTTGGCATACTGCGATTCTCCGTGCCGTTGACTTCTCTGTGACAATTATGATGGCTTTTCGTTCTGGTATTCACCATCTTTCACCATCTTTCACCAAGTCTCCAAGGAGCGTCCGCCACTCGGAAGTTGTGATCGAAAACGTTGCAGCGATATACGGCGCTGGTTTCTCTGCGGGAAATATCGACATTTCTGTGGGGCACTCAGTGCATTCCTTGTACTGGGGAGGTGTGCTTAAACGGATGCCAGCAGTGTCAGTCTTTCCTAATATTCATTTAAGGGGTGGTTTGCTGACTCTCAGGGCTACTGTATTATGTTAATTAATTACGTCACATAACACATGTTTTGTTTTGAAGGTTTGGTTCCTCAACTGGTCTTTGTGCCCTTGGGTAAGGACAATTCCAGGATCCTCATCCAGAACACCAGATGCAGCAAGAATGGTGGAGCCTTCCAAACAGGCGGACGTTTGCAGGTGACCCACAGATCAGTTGTCAGCCTTCAGAACGTGACCGCTGGAAGCGATGGAGGAGGTTTCATTGCTCTTGAAGAGGTTGAGATTGCTGGAAACTCAACCATCAACATTTCCAACAGCCACGCTGAAACAGGAATTGGGGGTGGTTTTTATGCAGAGAAGGATTTGAACGTGTCCAGCGGCTCAAGAGTCATCCTTCGGAATGCGACGGCTGGATTGTCTGGAGGAGGATTTTTTGCCAGCGGCAGGACATTTATCAGTCATTCCACAGTCAGCATCCAAAATGCCAGGGCCCGGCTGTATGGTGCAGGATTCTATTCCCAAAAGGAAGTGGTCATTGATGAGATGTCCACTGTCCGCATTTCCGATTCAAGATCTGAAAAAAAAGGTGGAGGTTTCGTAACTGACAAGTGGTTGCGGGTGACCAACAGCTCACTTCTCAGCCTTCAGAATGTGACCACTGGAGAGAGTGGAGGAGGTTTTGTTGCTCTTGAAGAGGTTGAGATCGCTGGGAACTCAACCATGAACATTTCCAACAGCCACGCTGAAACAGGAATTGGGGGTGGTTTTTATGCAGAGAAGGATTTGAACGTGTCCAGCGGCTCAAGAGTCATCCTTCGGAATGCGACGGCTGGATTGTCTGGAGGAGGATTTTTTGCCAGCGGCAGGACATTTATCAGTCATTCCACAGTCAGCATCCAAAATGCCAGGGCCCGGCTGTATGGTGCAGGATTCTATTCCCAAAAGGAAGTGGTCATTGATGAGATGTCCACTGTCCGCATTTCCGATTCAAGATCTGAAAACAAAGGTGGAGGTTTCGTAACTGACAAGTGGTTGCGGGTGACCAGCAGCTCACTTCTCAGCCTTCAGAATGTGACCACTGGAGAGAGTGGAGGAGGTTTTGTTGCTCTTGAAGAGGTTGAGATCGCTGGGAACTCAACCATGAACATTTCCAACAGCCACGCTGAAACAGGAATTGGGGGTGGTTTTTATGCAGAGAAGGATTTGAACGTGTCCAGCGGCTCAAGAGTCATCCTTCGGAATGCGACGGCTGGATTGTCTGGAGGAGGATTTTTTGCCAGAGGCAGGACATTTATCAGTCATTCCACAGTCAGCATCCAAAATGCCAGGGCCCGGCTGTATGGTGCAGGATTCTATTCCCAAAAGGAAGTGGTCATTGATGAAATGTCCTGTGTCCGCATTTCCCATTCAAGATCTAAAGGAAACGGTAGAGGCTTGGCAACTGAGAAGTGGTTGCGGGTGACCAACAGCTCACTTCTCAGCCTTCAGAATGTGACCACTGGAAGCAATGGAGGAGGTTTTGTTGCCCAAAGAGAGGTGGAGATAGCTGGGAACTCAACTCTAAACATTTCCAACAGCCATGCTGAATCAGGAAAGGGTGGAGGTTTTGTCAGTCAGGATGTGAAGGTGTCCTCTGGCTCAAGACTCATCCTTTGGAATGCGACAGCTGGACGGTCTGGGGGCGGATTCGTTGCAAACGGCAGGACTTTGATAATCAGCATGTCCACAGTCAGCATTCAACATGCAACGTCTCGGCAATATGGTGGAGCTGGTGGAGGGTTTTATGCTGGTGACGATGTTGTAATCGATGGAATGTCCTGTGTCCGCATTTCCCATTCAAGATCTGAAGGAAACGGTGGAGGCATCGCAACGGGGAAACGGTTGCAGGTGAGCAACAACGCAGTTCTCAGCCTTCAGAATGTGACCACTGGAAGCAATGGAGGAGGTTTTGTTGCCCAAAGAGAGGTGGAGATAGCTGGGAACTCAACTCTAAACATTTCCAACAGCCATGCTGAATCAGGAAAGGGTGGAGGTTTTGTCAGTCAGGATGTGAAGGTGTCCTCTGGCTCAAGACTCATCCTTTGGAATGCGACAGCTGGACGGTCTGGGGGCGGATTCGTTGCATACGGCAGGACTTCGATAATCAGCATGTCCACAGTCAGCATTCAACATGCCACGTCTCGGCAATATGGTGGAGGTTTTTTTGCTGACCACGAAGTTGTAATTGATGGGATGTCCTGTGTCCGCATTTCCCATTCAAGATCTAAAGGAAACGGTGGAGGTTTGGCAACTGAGAAGTGGTTGCAGGTGACCAACAGCTCACTTCTCAGCCTTCAGAATGTGACCACTGGAAGGAATGGAGGAGGTTTCCTGGCCTTTGATGGGGTTGAGATTGCTGGGGACCCAACCGTGAACATTTCCAACAGCCATGCTGGAACAGGAGATGGGGGAGGTTTTCACACAGGAAGCGGATTGAACGTGTCCAGCGGCTCAAGAGTCATCCTTCGGAATGCGACGGCTGGAATGTCTGGAGGAGGATTTTTTGCCATAGGCAGGATACTTATCAGTCATTCCACAGTTAGCATCCAAAATGCCAGGGCCCAGCTGCTTGGTGCAGGCTTTTGTGCAGAAGGAGTAGCATATGTCAACGCATCTGCAGTGGCCATGCTCAGCACCCATACAGGGTCAGATGCACCCATACAGGGTCAGATGGTGGTGCTTTTTCTGTGCTTGGTTTGACTTTGCACAGAAGTTCGATCTCCATTGGCAACTCCACTGCAGTGGGATCAGGCTCGGGAGGTCGCGTAGATGGCCAAGTGCTCCTTTCGTCTCAGTCCAACTTGGTGGTGAAACAGGCGCAAGGTCGTGAGAATTCCAGCGTGCTGGCAGCAAGTTGCCTCCACCTAAGAGATCAGTCACGCGTTCTTTTTGAGGATGTCATCAGCGGCCATGGGGTGGAGCTCCAAAACAGTGGATGCTCCAGAAGTTGCTCAAACAGCACGTTCCATGTCGCAGCAGATGCAGTCCTCAACGCCAGTGGTCGTTTTAGCTCAGGTCTTCTATCCCTTGCAGCCTGCCCAAAGGACCCGAAGGAGAAGGTACGCCTCTCCGGGATCCACCTCCAGTCGTCCAGTTCGTTGCTCAGCACCCAGCCAAGTGTCCCAAGCTCTGTGGTGGTCGACCAAGTGACTATCGACTACGAGCCACCTGTCAACAATTTACAGATCCTAGCTGCCAAGGACGGGAGGGTCCGGGAGGGTGTCAGATGGTGTGTGTGTGTAACATCTGAATAGATGTAAAACTTCTTCTCTCTCTTTTTCTTCCTTTGTCCTCTCCCTTTCTAATTCTAAATATAATGCAGGGGGCCAGCGCATGGCATCACGACGCTGGCCAACGAAGCTAGTGATGTCATGGGAAGCAGTTGGAGACGTCCAACTGTGTACCTGCAGAAATCAAGTTGAACTGTTGAACACGCTGTCTTGTTGCTGCACTGTTGTCGCAATCTGGAATCTATTTTGAGATTTACTTGCATCAGAACCTTCCTCAGATTTTCGCCGAAACCATTTCGCCGACAGTATTATGAACTTTGGGTCATTTTGGGAAACAAAACCATCTAGGCTGGTTTGCATGTTTCAGGATTCAGTTCCTGCCGGATCATATAATGATCCATTCTTGTCTAGTGTGATTTCCATGGTGGCTCCGACATGGTGCCATGGAGCCATTTGAGGCAACCCTCTTCAGGGTGAGTGTTGACAGTCCTGAATTCTGAATTCACACATTTTAATTTGGTAATTCATCTAAGTAAATTGCAACAGCTGGCCTTACGGTTTGTCAGCCATTTTGAGATCTCCTGCTGCTCCGGATGTCCCAGGGATCCCAGTGATCTGCTCTTTCAAGTGAAGCCATTCCGAACATTCAGAAACCTCCGTTTTCACTGCAGCTTCAGCGTGTGCGATGAGACATGACATGCAAGACAACAGGCAACAGGCATGTCCTTTTCCTGCAGGTGTGGTCTCTTTGGTATTTGGTGAGGTGAAACATATTGTGCATCTAATTCGATGGAACTTGGAAGCTGTTTTATGCCATTGGGGCACGACTTGACCACGGTCCCGGTGCAGGGAATAATCGCACGACCTTTAGGCATTTAGGGACTGAATCCTGTTTTTAATTAATTGTTTTGGTTTTCCTGTCGGTCATCAACTAGTCCCCCATTTGGTCCCTAATTTTCCCCGCGTGCCTCTCCGTAATGTGTCGTGGGGTTTAGGTGTGTGCGCTGTTTTGTTCAGGTCCGTTTCGCCGTGTAGGTTGGTTCCGGAGGTCCGTCTGTTCCCCTCTCCCCCCCTGCGCTGTTTTTGGCCGTTTGCCCTTCGTGTGTCCGCTTTTTTCTTCCTCTTGCCTTTCAGGGTTGACCCGGCTCCGGCCGGGTGTGTGTGTGTAACATCTGAATAGATGTAAAACTTCTTCTCTCTCTTTTTCTTCCTTTGTCCTCTCCCTTTCTAATTCTAAATATAATGCAGAGGGCCAGCGCATGGCATCACGACGCTGGCCAACGAAGCTAGTGATGTCATGGGAAGCAGTTGGAGACGTCCAACTGTGTACCTGCAGAAATCAAGTTGAACTGTTGAACACGCTGTCTTGTTGCTGCACTGTTGTCGCAATCTGGAATCTATTTTGAGATTTACTTGCATCAGAACCTTCCTCAGATTTTCGCCGAAACCATTTCGCCGACAGTATTATGAACTTTGGGTCATTTTGGGAAACAAAACCATCTAGGCTGGTTTGCATGTTTCAGGATTCAGTTCCTGCCGGATCATATAATGATCCATTCTTGTCTAGTGTGTGTGTGTGTGCTGTCACATTTGTATACATTTGTATACATTTGTCACATTTGCAAGACTCGTATCGGTAGTTTCTTCCCGCACATCAAGTGAAGTGTGAGTCCTTCTGCATTTTTGTTGTACTTAGCCCGTGCGATTATTTTGAATCTGGGGGTTTTGACTTTTTCTAGATGCTCGCATGGAATCTTCTGGAGAAATCTTCAGAATATCACTTAAAATTGTACTGTAATTCACTTAAATATACTTTTCTTTCGTGACATTTTCTCCGGCCTTGCCCTTTTTGGATTGGTCCGATTGGGGGACCTCATTCCACCTCGATATTTGAACATTGCTCCACTTCCCGATGGCATCTGGTTTTCAAAATAGTCTGGTGGGTCGGCGCGTCAGTGAAATATATAGTGAAATACAGCTGGCGCCACATGTTGCTATATATATGATTATATAATATTATATTAATGTTTATTTATGGTTTACATTGTTTTAAATCATGTGTTTGATTATTAATTGCATGTAATGAAAACCAGAAGCGACGTCGGTGCAGGATGGCTTCGAGATCGACTCTTTGACTGTTTCGTGCCAGAACTGCACCTGGGGCATTACTTTGAGTGCAACGAAGGACGGAAAGCAGCTAAGTACCGTGAGCTCTGAACATCTCCAGTGCTCCAAAACAGCCACAGTGCCACTTGGTGCCACAACAGATGTGGACTTTTTTGCCAAAGTTCTCTAGCCGTCTTAATTTCTCCTCTGGTTGCTAAGACATGCTAAGACAAACATTCAGTCAATTCATGGGTGCTTCAGGTGCCATCCATTGTCATGCCAGTTTTTCATATTTTTTTCAATATTTTTTCGCAGTTGCTGGAAATCACTCAACGAGGTCGAAAGGAAAGACACAACATTGCAAGTGTTCCGGCTACCAGACTCTCAGCTCGCTATTCACCAGCCCTTGGTGGGAAGACATCCAGGGCTACCAGAAGAATTAGATCATCAAACCCCAATTGTTTGTACCATTTTGTACCATTGTTTGATAGTGTAAATATATAGTTATGTTATCTATTATGACATAATTATAGCTGATGTTTGGAGCCTGCAGACAGCAGATGGAAGGATTGCAGCCAAAAACTTGCAAGATTTGGTGCCCTTGGAAAGAACATTCGAGACGTGCACATTCTGCAACTAGACCTGCAATGGATCAATTGACAGATATTGACAATATTGCCGCCGATAGGTTCATGCCATTTCGCGATATTTTAGATATGTTCTATCCGATTGCTTCTCTACCTGGCAGCCAGTTGGTAGCTGAGGTAAGCCCCACTTCTACTTTCAAAATGGCGATTGTCAGAAGTGTGGAATCTTGATTGCCTGGTCTGATGGAAGAACGGATTCTTGCAATGTTCTACCAGGCAAGACGGAGTTGATCACGCTTTTGACAGGTGCTGCAGTCATGGTCTTGTTGACTTTCTTCGCCTTCGAGATTTTGAAGGCTCCTTTGGTGATCGTTGATGCAAAGTCAGATTTGGCAGACCCGACACAAGCTGAAAGCAAGAGGATGTTCACGCTTTCAGTGCAAGGGCCCATAGTTGATCTTCACGATAGCCTGTCTCGATTGGTGCACTGGTGGGTGCGTTATCAGGCGAAGGGAACGGGCTTGAGATGGCTAGACTATGATCACAAGAAGACCAAGGCAGTCAAAGTTCACAACATTGCACACAGAAGGCTTTTGCTGCAAAACACGAATCCCGATTTTGATTGCGCTTCGTGCAAGGGTTCTTTGCATGCCGTTGGTTTTATAAACTTGCTCGGCTTGATCACTGTATGCATATCAGTGATAACAATGCTACCTGTAATCATCCAAGTAGCAGTGATCTCCGGAAACGGTGTGAAGCATGTTTCCGCCGCTTTGGCTTGCAACGAGAACCACTTTGTTGGACGGATGATAGTTTTACGAGTTAAAGTGTTGTTTTGTGTTTTGTTTTGGTAAAGACAATTCTTGCCTAAGGTTACATCAATCTATATGACTGTTCCTTGTGTTGTTCTTGCTGCTGTGCTGCATTGGCCAGTGGCCTGGCTGATCCAATGGCGATATCATAGGACATCATTTTCACGGGCTTTGGATGAGTACAGTGAGCAGATCAAGTGCAAGCCAGCCGCAGGGTCTGATGCAAGCCATCCTCGCAATCAGGGCTTGGAGGTTCTGACTTTGCGCGGCTTGTGGAAGCACTTCGAGAGCTTCTTTGTTCTTGTCAGCATTTTTTTTTTCGCCATAAATTTCATGTTAATCCTGGGATCTGAATGTCCTGTCCTGTCCCTTGCCTTGCCCCAGGCTTCATTCTGGAGCGCAATATGCACTTTGTGGTTGCCAACATAGTAATGCCCGTGACACAAAGCAAACGAATCTCCTTTGTAACTCTTTGGGGTGGCAGGCAGGTCGATTATTTTGTGTCGCTTGGCATTTACTTTTGACAAAGTGCTTCTTGATTTGTTCGGCTTGTCCAAGCCGCTCCAAGCCACCCAAGCATTTTGGGTAAGGTCTCATTGCTGGGGCGGCAGCTTTCCACACTTAGTGCAATCCATTGAGTGCCATGCTCTGTCCAAAGAGGGCCCCGCTTCTTGGTTCTATGCAGCATATTGGATCTGTTCGTTTGCGACTTGGAGGAGAACACGGGCCCATCACCACTGACATGTTACATGTTTGTTTCACAAGCACGGCAGTGGAGCGTGACGTTGTAGGATGTTGTAGATGTACCTCCATGCTGAAGATCTTTCTGAGCTTTTGACATGAACAGGGAATGTTCCACTGAGACAGAAGATACAATTGAGCCACATTCGAAACCCTTGCGTCCATGTTTAGGAAGGGGCCCCTTGCAAGCGCATGGCGTAAGCAAAACTCTGATGAGCGCAAGCCAACCTAAGCTCAACGTAAGACAAGATATCCGCGTAAGCAAAACCTGTGTGTGCGTAAGCAAAACATAAGCACAGGCGTAAGCATTTCCTTATTATTTGTTGCCAGGATACATGACATTTAGAAAACATGGCTCAATTGTCTGGAATAAATTGACAATATTGAAAGATGTGTTTTTTGTTCGAGTTGACTTCTGCCCAGGCGAACAACCAGTGGAACATCGGAGCCGAACTGTGAAGTGACCCCATGGAGAGCGCCTTTGCACTAACTTTGACTTCCGGAATCAAAGGAGTTGCGATGGTCTTAGATCGGGAAGTGCAGCCTCTCACAAGCGGCTCGACCAACTGTGCATGTCAAGAAGTGAAGGAAATGTACTTGTCATTGTCTCATAGTGTCTCATTTTTCTTCTATTTCTTAACTTTCTTGGCACTTGCGCAAAAAAAACCCTTTGCCCAAAGAGCAGAGACTTCCGAGCTGAGGAGTTTGGTGTTTATTCGAATATTTCCTGTCCAGCCGGGAGCACTTGGAGTTGGTTTTTGTCACCAACGCTGGCGTGATAGGTGATGCTGCTTGGCGCAAACAGGGTTGTCTCAACTTTACCTGGAAATTTGGCAAGCCAATATTGTTTCTGTCCATGAAACAGACCAAATCTTTTCATGGTTGCCAGTTGCCAGTGCATATTTTCGGGCAAGTTCTTGTTCCTGCTTCGCTGGCCGGACTGTCGTAAGATTCTCCTTAGAGACTTGGGGCTATAGAAAACTTGGAAAACTTGTAGGTCAGGGGGGTCGTTCAGTGGTTCGACATAATATATAAGTGAACGTGTCACAATGTGTTGTGTTAGCTATGCTTGACATATGGACATGCTATGACATGCCAATGTGCCATAATGTGCCCTTTGCTGCAGGATGGTTGCAGCTCCTTTGACATTGCGTTGGAGGTGGGCAAGAAGATCAAGTCTTTGCAAGTTGCCAAATGTGAGGCAACTTCAGAGAAAGACAAGAAACTCGATGAAAAAGCAAATCCGCACGCGCCGCACACCTCGTTTAGTGTGGAACCGGAGTTGTCTTTGTGCTGAGCCCGTTTGTGTGGAAACCCAAAGACTTTCATGTGGTACATCGATATCACTTGACAAATTGTGCAGTTTTCTTCGTCCGACCCTTTGGGTGATTTTGGGTGTTTGGATATTATTAGCATTCCGACCCTGAAAAACTGCATAGATTCATGCTGGGACCATGTTAGGACAGACATCGTCGAGTACATCATCTCTGAGTTGGGAAGCCTTGAGAGAATGGATAAGCAAATTCGAGCGGCCATGTCTGAAATGCTGATGCGAAATCTGGCCAACGTGGAACGGGCAACTGGAAGTCTTGTGGACAGCCTGGGAGAGGGCAGCGCAGAAACAGTCGATGAAGAGAGTTCTTAGCTAATTGGTGCTTCCAATTTCTGGCGGATCTCATCCCATCCCCCTAATATTAAACACCCCCTATAGAAACCATGGTTTAGTAGGGAATTTCATGGAATTTCCACATAGTTGGGACCATTTATTTAGAATCGATTTAGGGGGTGATTTAGGATGGGTGATTTGCAATGATTGGAGCGCGCACAAGACCGTGACTTGTCCAAAAGAGCTGGCCCAAAGCAAAGCTGGCCTACAGTTTGCAGCGAATGAGTTTTGGCGACATGCTGCCACTTCCTCAAGGAAGGCTGCAATGCGCCCCATCCGTTCGACGTCTGGCCACTGTGGAAGTTTGCGCGCACAAGACCGTGACTTGTCCAAAAGAGCTGGCCCAAAGCAAAGCTGGCCTACAGTTTGCAGCGAATGAGTTTTGGCGACATGCTGCCACTTCCTCAAGGAAGGCTGCAATGCGCCCCATCCTTTTGACATCTGGCCACTGTGGAAGTTTGCAGAAAACGCACAAGACCGTGACTTGTCCAAAAGAGCTGGCCCAAAGCTGGCCTACAGTTTGCAGCGAATGAGTTTTGGCGACTGCTGCCACTTCCTCAAGGAAGGCTGCAATGCGCCCCATCCGTTCGACGTCTGGCCACCGTGGAAGTTTGCAGAAATGGGCATGCATGCTTGGGACGTCTTAGGACATGCAGATTATAGATCATGTGATTGACTCCACTGACTCCACCTTTTTTTTCGCATGTTGTGCAAATCCACCTTTTTTTTTTCTGTGTGGTTTTCTACAACTGTTTGTAGATAGCTGTCAGCTATGTCCCATGCTGCGTTCAAAGTCACCCCGCAACACATTTTCGGATTCGATAATCTCACCCAGCCAGATCCTGGTGGGTTGTCCTCAGGGATGTCCCCGAAGAGCCCTGAGATCGCCGGAAGAGCAGCGTCCAAGGCTGGCTTTGACATGCTTGAGGTGTACGGGGAAAACATTGAATAAATGCAACACTGTTGTATTCTCAGTTGGCTTATCAGTTGGGTCCCTTTTCCCCACCTGTCAGGTGAGGGTTGTTAGATTTTATGTCAGCTGTCCCGCCGCCTCCTCCTCCGCCTCCTCCTCCGCCTCCGCCTCCTCACCCGCCTGCTCCTCCGCCTCCTCCGCCGGACCCCAACTGCAAGCGCTAGACTAGATCGCAGTGTTCCCCGCCGGACCCGAACAGCAAGCTCAGGATCAGAGTGTTCCACGCCGGACCTCAACTGCAAGCGCTAGATCGCAGCGTTCCCTGCCGGACCCGAAGAGCAAGCTCTGGATCATGTTGCAGGTTGTATCAGCCACACTTCAAACCTTTTGACCCCCTCAAATTGCAACGCGTGTTTATGTTGCCAAAGAGTGCTACAATTGCCTAAATTCATCTAAATTCAAGATTCCGACCTCAGGCTGATTTTTTGCCCGAACCATTGTTGTTCAGGCTGATAAAACACACTAGGCTGATCTTCCAGCCCGAATGAAGTTTATGGCATGGTCGGTGAGGACCTAACCTGGAACCCTAACCTTTGGTTTCGCAATTTGATAGCCAGGCTTCAGAACCCGTCGAAAGCAGCATTGCAAAGATGAAGTCGAATGAATTCAGACCAAAACTAGAATCCATCAAGTTTAGCCTGGATTATATAGATCAATATTAGATCTTACATGGCCTTCCTGTCACGCTCTTACAGGGCTCCAAATTTGAAAGACCTTGAATGCTTTTGAATCGTGTCATGTGATTTGCTGGCTTTACGCACGTCAGTTGTTTGGTGCTCCGTGAATCTCTATAAGATCCTGGGGCTGGCATTGAGGAGCTTGGCCTGATGCTAGACAGTACTTGGGGACAAGGTCTGAACATAGGGCACCCCCAACTCATCATTTTCAAACTCTGTTCCCCTAAAAATGACAATTTTATATCATTTCATGGGGTTGATCCACATTCTCAGCCACAGCCCCTTGGTACTTTGGTTTACTTAGCTTGGCACTGAGATGCCATGAACTGTTTCTGATGCGAGGGATCAAAGGGGACGAAACGCAATGCGCCATTTGATGCTTTTGTCAAGGAATCCCTGTATGATCTTGGCCTGATTCAGAAAGGCTTCACAGATTTCAACCAAACATGAGCATGCGAGGATTCCTAGACAGTACTTCATGATTACTTTATATTGTATATTATATACACTCAGGTATACTTTCGAATTGTCAAGCATTGTTAGTGGGCTCTTGCTTCACGACGCGTCCATGGATGTTTGGATATGCTTGCTGTTTCATCCGCCCTGACCCTCAGCTGTTTGATCAAACCAAGCTGAGACATGCTGAGACATGGTGTACCACTTCATGACAGTGCGATGTGGAACTCATGGTTTTGATTAGATTTGAAAAAGGGCGCGAGGCAAGTACAGTGAGAAGATGTCACACGTGTTTTTTCCCTTCGATCATAGTAGTCAGAGAATCCTACTCAGAGAATATCACTGAAGTCCCAAGATGTCCCAAGTATTTCATATCGCAGCCGCCATCAATGTAGACCCATGGCATACTGGAGCGATGCAGGTCCGGACTAGAGCAATGACCAGCCCGGTCTAATGCTCCAAAATGCAAAGAGGTTGATTGAAACTTGTCAAGAGGCATGGCAGAGTCGAACCATATATGGGTTTGTTTGAAAAACGGGGATGCCATTCCATCAACTGGATAATCATGATTTTTCTCTGTTAAAGCAGCCATATTTGAACTCTATATTCACCATTTTTGAGACACACCCATACTTGAGATTAGTTGATGCTTAGTTAATCTTAGTTACAATATCCGATCCAATAAAAAAGATTCCTCATGTCCCAAACCTTGAAGTATAGCAGCCATTGAAGGTCCTGTACTGTTAGCCATTCATGTCGGGTGGCCGCATCTAGGAGGCGACCATGCCACCGTTTGGGCGCTGATTCAGCTTCTTCAGCCATATCCCTAGAGGCCTCAAGCACTGAAGAAAAGATAGGACCCCAAGAGTGACATGATATATCTCTCGTGACTTGTTCCTATTGAATCATTAATCATGGTTCACATGGTATTATAATAATGTATGATATAATGAATGTAATGTATAAATTTATATAATAGATATATTATATATATACATGTTTTTAGACAGTAGTAAGGTTAGGTTTGGGTTTAGATATGGGTTAAGATGGGGCATTTTTACCAACAAAAAAAACGTGTCATTTGGCCAAAAACGATGGGCGCTTCAATTTCAGCTTTAAGGTGGAGTGGTGGCAGTTGCCCAGCAAGTGCAGTGGGCTACATTTATCAGCAGGCACTGCCGCTACGGCTTTGGGCCTGGGACAAAATTCGATGGGCTTAGGACATTTTTTGGGGCAATCAATGGTGGATATTCCGAATTGAATTTAGTACAGAAAGGCATGTTGCTGGTGATGGTCAAATGGAGGATTTTGGGTGTACTACAATTATTTCATGGGGATATTTTATGGATTGTACCCTCCCGTAACATGAAACTTTGCTGGCTGGGGTTTCCCCCGAACATGTGGCTAAATGGTGGGATGTGAAGGCTGCCACGGTTACCGGAGGGAAACTCACCAACTATCATCTATTACGGGGATAATAATATAGGGATATGTTATCGGATATTCAACTCACCAACTATATGTCATGAGCTAATTTCCAGTATCGGGGTGCCTGAAAATGAGCCTATCTACCAGAAAACTGTGGTAGTTCCACAGAAAAAACTATATGAAACATGTTAGACTTGTTAGAATCTAAACCAGTTGATGGTAGCCGGGGTAGCCATGGGTAGCCTATTTTCAGACAAACACGAATCTTGACCCCGACTCATCAGATTTCTCACAAGTACAGGATTGGAATGTATTGGATTCATGACATCGTATACTGTAATCTTATGTAATCTTACTATTTTTTTCACCATTGAAAATCGTAAGTTTATAATTTCCCAAAAATAAATCCCTGACTATTCATTTACCATTAATTTACCATTGATTATCATTTACCAATGAATCCAATAGATACAGGCCACCAACTCTGCAGGAAGGCGGCAGTACACACCGCTGGGTGCTTCAGCAGCACGGCGGTGTGCAACACTTTGTGTCTGCGCATTCCGAGGAACGGCTCCCGATCCAATGTCGTTTTAAGAAGCGTTTTCTGCCGGTTTTCGCAGGCAAAATTTGTTTATCTTTCGTTGGCACATCACTATTCAATAGGTTTTTGGATGTTTTTGGTACATTAGCATAGTTTTAAATCCAGATCAAGAGATTTACTTGGTGTGCTTACGGCTAAGCCGTCTGATGCAAAACACCTCTGTGAGTCTCCCATGGATCGAACACCAGGTCTTTGTCCTAGAGCCTAAGAAGCCAGGCCAGACTCCGCATGTTTTCATGGACACGACGCGACAGTTGACATTACTGGATTGGTTGAAGAGTTTTTCCATGTTTCTCCCATCAGATAATATATATGTATATATATATAGATATGATCGAGAGACCTTTAGGTACTATTTTGTTGCTTTGTTCTCCTCCGTTTTTCTTTCTTTTAATTCAATTTGATTCATTTAATCAATTTAAACACATTAAGTAAATTGACACTTTGATAATTTAATTGATTTAAACAATTGAATTATTTTAATTAATTTAATTGATTTAATTAATGTAATCAATTAAATTAATTTAGTTAATTATTTTAGTTAATCTAATTCATTTAATTAACCCAATTAATCTAATGAATTTGAAATTAGTTTAATTAATGTTAATTAATCTAATTAATGTTATTTAATCTAATTAATGTTAATTACTCTAATTAATTTGACTAATTTAACTAATTTCATTCAATTAATTAAGTTCATAAATTTAATGACTATAGTTAATTTTGGGTAATTTCATTAATTGTATTATGTTCATTAATTTGATTAGCCTAATTGATGTAATTAATTTTCATTGATATAATTAATGTTGAATACTGTTGATCAAATTAATTAATTTAATTAATGCATTAAGTTCGTTTAATTAATTTAAAATTTTCATTAGGTTAATGAATTAGCTTAGTTCCATTACTTGGAATAATTTAATTAATGACATTAATTTAATTAATTTGATTAATCATTTTTTTTTTAAATCAATTAGTCTACTTTAATAATTTGACTTAATTTAGTTAACCTATTTTTCCGATTCATTTAATCAATTTTATTAATTTACTTCATTTATATAATTAGTTTAACTAATTTGATTCGTTCAATTAATGCACTTAATTTGCTTAATTTGATTAATTTAGTTAACTAGAGCTAGATTAGTTCAATTAATTGAATTAATTGATTTTTGTTTATTAGTTTTATTAGTTTTATTAGTTTAATTAGTTTAACTAATTTAATTAATTTACTTAATTTAATTAATTTTGTTCATTTAGTTCATTTAAATAATGTATTTTTGTTTAAGTCTAATTAACTTAATTAGTTTAATTTATTTGACTAGTATAATTATTTTAACTAGTTTCATTAGATTAATCATTTAATTTGATTTGATTAATTAAATTAAGTACTGTGTTGTTTTGAATGTAATTTGTCTAATTAATTTAATTAGTTTACTTAATTTAGTTGATTTAATTCATTAATTAATTTAATTGATTTAATTCATTTAACCTAAAAAGAATAGATAGTTTTTGTTAACCAATATTGCCAAAACCATTCATTATTGCCAAAATTGGCAAAGTTCCCAAAATGATCAAAATTAACAAGTTGCAAAAAAAAATGTTAAAATGTCAAATTGGTGAAACTTTGCCACAATTGCCAAAAGTACAACATTTGCTAAAATTGGCAAATTTTACTAAAATCGACAGATAGCCAACATTTTCCAAAATTGCTCAACTTTTCCGAAATGGACTAAAGTCAATCAAAATTGCCAACATGACCAAAAGCAACAAATTGCCAAAAATTGCAAAAAAATGCCAAAATCCAAAACGTCGAACAATTGCCAAAAATGGCAAAAGTCATCAAAATTAGCACATAGTCAAAATAAACAAAAATGTCAAATGTTGCCAAGAATTGCCCAAGCTTGAGAAATAGCCAAAACTTGTCAAAACTTCTAAAATTTCCAACCTTTGCCAAAATAACCAAAATTACCAAAAATTGAAAAAGATGCCAGCATGGCCACCAAATCATTTCAATCATTTAAACATGTTTACATAATTGAGTATTTAACTTATTTTTTTATCCATTTAACCTTTCACCGGGTTTTCCCTTAACTGGTATTTTCCCTTAACTGTGCTTTCCATTGACTGGGTTTTCAGTCTCTGTCTCTTCTCTCTTCTTCTTGTCCTTATTTTTTTCCTTTCCTGTCTCTTTTCCAAGGTTTATACCGCCCTGTAACAGTGCCAAAATGCAGCTTCGTATCCGTTGGTTGTGTCCTTTTCCTTGTCATTTGCTGCTCCAGTTCCATTGCCAGTTTGGGGCCTTCCTTGTTCTTTTTCTTCTTATTTACCTTCACCTCTTTTTGTTCCTTGTTTCTTCGGTTTCATAGCGCTATCCCTTTTACTCTTTCACTATTTTGTGCACTTCAAATGTCCCTTTCTCACTATTTTCCATTGTTCATTTCTTTTCAATGTTCTTCTCCCCCTTCTGATTCCTCTTTCAGTTCCAGTTCAATTCATCTTCTTGTTCTCTTCCTTCTTCATGACGTATCATTCTGTTTCCTTTTACAGCTCCCGACATTGAGTGGGCTCCGTCACGGGCACAAAATGGGCTCTACGTGCAAAACCCACTATACATTCAAATTTCTTCCTTTTAGTGTCGCCTTCTCCAATTTCTATTACGGCTTCTTGTACTCCAGCATTTTTCCCGTTGTATTGATGGTATTATTGGCAAGCCAAGTCCAAATTGTCTTTGTTCCACTTTGGGAAAGGACATTGATTAAAAGCCAAAAGGAAGGTTTCCTGGAGCACACATGTTTACACATGTTCTATGGCCATTGTTTTTTGTCTGATTCAATTCCGCGGTTTAGGCAGCAAAGAATATAGCTTTACACATGCGTAAATGGAACATGTGAACAACAAAGGAAGAAGAAGAAGAAGAAGAAGAGGCCGAGGACAAGAACAAACACTCCCCGCAGCACGTGCGCTCCACTCCACAGGCATTCCACTATATACATGTTCACAGGGTTTTTGCATCATTTACAGTATATGTAGTACAGTAATTGTTTAGGGTTTCTTTAGGGTTCATTTATGGTTTCTTTAGGGTTAATCTAGGTTTTTTCTAGGTTTTTTAATGGTTTATGTAAACAAGTTACGAAAACTAATCTTTGGAGACAGCCGAATATCCGCAGAGGGTCATCAACAACGTCTCTGGGTTCGCAAACCCAGAGTCATCAAGTTATATTGTAACATCCCAACACAGTGGAAGGCCACAGAGTACTGTAAAAGTCACCCAAAATGAGGGTTCAAGAGAACAGGGAACCAGAAGCGAAAAAAGATAAGCTGATCAAGCATCCTGTCATTGTTTGAACGTGCACGCGGCACACAACCTTGAGCCACACACTCTACGAGCCGGAGGAGAAACAAGAGCAAGAAGAGGATATGAACATGAAGCGGATAAACCAATTGTGAATTTGAATAGTGTGAATAGTATGCTGCGCATGAAAGCCTTCTTTTTGTGATTGTGATGGGGCCCTTGCGATCTTGGAAAGGCAAGGCCAGGAATAAAGAGAACACACAATTCATAGACAGAGAAATGCAGCAGAAAGAAATAAAATGAAATAAACAAAATGGGGACCAAAGGGAGCTGGAAGAGAGAGATGAAAAAGGGCAGTGGGGAGGGGATCCAGTGTGTAGTGTAGTGTGTATCACGTAACTCACGTATGAAAGGCTCCATTTTGTGCCCATGACAGGGCCCTGTCAACTAGAATCTGAGATGTTTTTCTGTCTTCTCTTCCCTTTGACCCTTTACGGTTTCTTTATTATCTGTGTGTTCCTCCTTTCCATGTCCTTTTCCGTTTCCTCCTGCCGCTCCTTTTCTCCCTTCTTGTTTCCCTGCTGTGCTATCGTTTCTCCAGTTTGCCTTGTTACATTCCAGTCTCTGTCTCTTCTCTCTTCTTCTTATCCTTATTTGTTTCCTTTCCAGTTTCTTTTCCTTAGTTGCTTTGTTTGTTGGGTCTCTTTTCCAAGCTTTATAGCTCCCTGTAACAGTGCCAAAATGCAGCTTCGTATCCGTTGGTTGTTTCTTTTTCCTTGTCATTTGTTTGTTTGCTTCTCCTCTTCCATTGCCAGTTTGGGGCCTTCCTTGTTCTTTTCTTCTTTACCTTCACCTCTTTTTGTTCCTTGTTTCTCGGGTTTCACAACGCTGTATATCCCTTTTACTCTTTCACTATTTTTTGCACTTCAAATTTCTCTTTCTCACTCTCTTCCTTTTCAATTTATTTTCAATTTTCTTCTCCCCTTCTGCTTCCTTTTCTAGTTCCTTTTCCAAGGGTTCTTTTGGCAGCCCCTTTTCCAAGATTGAGTGGGGGCCGTTCCTGCACTAAAGCCTCTTTGCTTTAGCAAACTCATATTCGTTTTCTTATTCCAATTTCACGTCGTTTGTATCTATATAGCTCTTCCTCGGTTTTTCATTACAGTATTTCTCCAGTTTGTATTTTTTCCGTTGCCTGTTACTCTTCCCTTTGTTTTAACTTCGTAGCACTTTCTTTTTTGCTATTTCGCTGTTTTTTTCTATTTCAAATGCACCTTTCTCGTTTTCTTCCTTTGTCTTTACTGCAATGTTCCTTCTCCCCTCTTCCTTCTCTTGGAAAGGAAATGCAGCCAGGATGAGGAAGCAGAACTGCGGTAGACCATTTGTGCTCCGCAGCATTCACTATGCAGCAGCATTCCGCAGCAACTTAGAAGCCATTTCAAGCATGGCACGGAGCAACATGGCGGACATGGCGCTGGCTGGGGTGAAAGTCTTGGAACTCGAAGGTGCAGACCTCAAGACTTTCTATGACAAAAACTGCATGGCCTGGTAGTTTCTTTGTCGTTTGCAGAAGCATCACTTCCCAGGTATTGGCCCTTGCCCTTTAGCTGCTTGTGTTCTGGCAGATTTTGGAGCCGACGTTTGGGGCCTACATCGACATTCCAACACCCAATGACACTGACCGGTTCTGAAATTATCCCGTGCAGCCCACCTGCCCAGGTCGTGACGGTGTGCAAAGCGTGCAAGCCTCGAGAGGTTTTTCAGAAATTCCACATGTAACGCTGCCGACATCTGCCGACCACAACATGCTGATGAATTCAGAGACTGTAGCGACTGTAGCGCTTAGGCAGGGCGGTATCGTTCTATCACAGCAAGATCCCGTTTCAAGGGGAAAGCGACGCAACCTTAGCAATGTTTTTAGCTGCTTAAGCTGCTTGGCACTATTTACTTGTGTGTGTATGAAAACAGGAGATACTCCCAAAGTTGCCATTCTATTGGGAATACGAGTTGTGAAACCATGACAATAAAGTCATGAAATTTGGTAACTTTGGGAGGTTTCCCCACTTTTTTCATACAAATCCACAACATGATGTCCATTCTCTCCCTTTTTTTTGAGGTCATTTGTCGCGTCGCATTTTTGCTGCCTTAATCTTCGATGCGTCCAGGATCTATTGCAATTGACATCAAATCTCGAGAGGGCGTCAAGGCAGTTGTCCCGCCGTGCAAAGTTGATGGACCCAAAATTAGATGACTGATGTGATATTTTGGGTCCATATATATAATATATATATATATATATATGATCATATATGATTATATGATCATATATGATCATATATGATCATATATGATCATATATATCTATATGATGTGGATGATGTGTATAAGAAGGATTTTCTATATATGATTTTGCTATGGTTTAGCATGGTTTAGCTACAGCTGTGATTGCTGTGGCCTTTGACGTGACGTGGTTTCTTAGCAATGATTTTCATGGGTGTTCTATGATTTGTTGCATTTTGTGTCAAAGGATCCGTTGGTATTTGGACTGGCCATAAGCAGTTGTCCCAGGCTGTCTCTATCAGCTTCCTTTCCCTGTCATTGGGCAGCCTGTGAAGGTTCTCAAACGTTTAGCAGCATCAGCAGATGTATTTTTGGAGCCCTTCCGACCTGGGGCAGGCGCCTCAGGTACCGAGAAATATGTCACATGTCAAGATATGATGAAGCCTTCGATAGCAAACATCGTTCAAGCACTTCTCAATACCAGCCAAGTACATGTTGAAATGCAATAATTTCTTGGAACCAAGAATGCAGGGTTGCCACGATGCGATCAACAGGGTTTTTTCATACCACCCTATGCAAAGTGATCTTTGTTCCTTGTCAGCCCATGCCATGAACTACTTTGTTTGTGCTCAAGAATGGGCTCAGTCAAAGTTCAACGCTTTCCTTTGTCCTTAAAGATATCCTTTTTGCTGCCAGCACTGCTACAATATGTTTCCGCAAATCCATGGAGGGGCCCATGGATTGACACAGAAGTGCCACAAGATGCTGAAGATCTTTTGAGGAGCTATGCAGTATGGCATCAAGAAGCTGCACATCAAGAGAGTGTTCAGGTCTTTCTTTGGAGACCAAGGAATGGTATAGGAGATCAGCTTCACGATGCTTCACTACCCAACTACTTGCACTACTGTTTGATGAGTTCACCATTTATTCGTTTCGAGGTTGCTCCAGCCGATGGAGCCGTGGATATCGGTGCTTGGGCTGTTGGCCTCTCTCCCCTTCTTGAGCTTGAGCATCAGCCGAATCGGAGTCAACACCTGCGACATGAAATCGTAGCTGAAGCCACTGGTCCGTGTTCCAGAGCTTGTCACTATCGCAGTTACAATATGATGGTCAAACCCATGGAAGCCGTAAAATATTTGCTGTTGCAGCCTTCTGTTCACACCTTGAGGCAGTTAGACCTAACCTTTGGTGGAGAAAGACCCAAAGAGCTTGCGGCCATTCACGTACGCACGTATGTCATTGATTCGGTGGAAGGAGAATTTGCTTTGGAGTCACCCGCCGCGAGAAATCTGTTCATGAAACTCATCAGGGAAATAGCTGACTGCATTTTATCAGCAGTTGCTTCGGAAGCTGAGCCGACCATTTTGGTTGCATCAGATTCACAACAAGTGACACAGGCGATGTTGGAGAGGATCCGAGCACAGCTGCCATTCTCGAAAGTGCGAGCAATATCTGAAAAGCCAGTTCATTCAAACAGGCTGATGTCTCCTAATGCATCCGATGATGAATATGCAAGTGTATGGGCTACTTGGTTCGGGCTTTTACAAGCAACGCGATTGTGCTGCGGTCATTCTATGTTTGCTGAAAGCATTCAAAGCTTTAGCCAGAAGCCTTTGAAAGTGACCCCATTGGGGTTTTGCGTTCCAAAGGCATGGAGCACTCTTACAAGGTATACATCGTTTGTGAGATCCAGGCAGGCTTGGGCAAAGACTCATTCGTATCGTTTTCTTGATGTACCTGGAAGATCTGCAGGATGATGTGACAAGGAAACCATCTATATCCATCTATCTCTTTTTGTATATAAAGAATATAAAGAATTAATGTAGATTAGTAGTGTTTGATATCACCTGAACTGTAGAATCCCACCTGGTTTTTGAGATGTTCGCTTGAAATTTCAGAAAACCGGCGGATTACAACACGACTCAACCGTAGGCAAACTCCGCAGACAGGGACTTTAAAGACGCTGGCAAGAGCTGTTGTTGCGGCAGAGAGTGGTAGTTCATCCAAGGAGGATGACAGAGCATGTTTGACATCAGAGCTTCAACAAGTCTTGCTTGCAGAAGAGCTGTGAGCAAGCATTCTTTTACATGCTTTGTTTTGCTGTGTCTCACCGTCCAGAAGTTCGGAAGCATGGCACCCATTGTAACGGCCAACAACCTGATTTCAGCTGTGAGAGTGGAAATTCGAGCTGCTCTTCGTTTGAAGATGCTGAATCCTACATGCCGGCTGATGGCACCTGACTGACCAAGCATTCTCCTGCTAAAAAAAGGCTCACGTGCTATTCAAACCCAAGGCCATGAATGGGATTTATATAGATTTGCATGTTGCTTTGAAACATACCTGATGCATGGATATGCATGGGCCAGAAGCAACCAGCCAATAGATTGATCCTGGATCGCTGGAAATTTTCCACACATTTTTTCCATCGATGCCAAGGTCGTAGAGAAGCTTGGCATTGGTCCAGAAGTCTTATGCTCGGTGAACCCAAAGCTCATCTATGGCAGGATGACAGGACGAGATTTGAGCAAGTTCTGTCAAGTTCTGTCGCAAAAAAAGTATCCCTCTTCAAGATAGAAAAGTGATTAAACGAATATTAAAAGTGATACGCGCATGATTTATTTTGATGGATTCGGAATGATTCGGATTATACTGTTCTATCGGGAGTTACTTAAAACATGCCTTGCATATCGTTGAATGCTTCATGCGCCGTCTGTGGGCAAAAGTCGTCGCAGGATTCGGTCAAGGTGGTAGTGAATACCGTCAAATGGCAGGCCACGACAGCAATTACATTGCGTTGTCAGGTCCGGACGACTCAGTTCTGCTCTGCTACATGAAAATATATGAAAATTCGGGGGAAGGCACTGAGGCACCCCAAATTTGATGCTTAGTCAGGATTTTTTTCGTCCTTTCCTGGACGACGCAGTTATGAATCTCTGAGAATTCCGAGCAAACCTCCTAAATTTGATGGTTAGTCACATGCAAGAATCATCATTTTCCCCGTGGAAATGGACTATTTTGAGGGGTATGGGCCATATGGGTCAACACATTTTCAGACAAACCTTGTTCTGGTAGCCTGGCGTCGGGCATGGGTCTAGTTTTGTCGACTGTTTGATGGGTCTAAAAAAATGTGATCACCCAAATGATGGGGCAAGAATTGGCTTATCAAGTTTATCAGTATATCGGAAAGTTACCGATGAACAAATCCTATATCATGCTTGCCTGTAGAAAACTGTCATGATTTTGTCAAGCAATGAATCGATTGAACTGATTAGATCCGCAATTGATTATGGTTAAATGTGTCATTTCTCGATGAAATCCTTATTTGTGTTCGTGCAAAAAAAAGTGCCCAATTTTGGCTCCTGAAAAATGTCTATTCTCAGGCCAGCTGCACGGCTGTCCTGTTTGCCTCGAGGATTGCTGGACTTCTTCAGACGTGGCACTGAGAAGCCTTTCCCGCCCGCCAACTTCGCTGGAGACTACGTGACTTCGCTGAGTGATTTATCAAGCAGGAACACCTTAAGCGCAATGCGACAGAATGGTATATTATTGCGATATCATTGATATCAGTATACTGATATCTATACTACATTATACTACTTTGTATTAAGTTGCTAATATTTTATTCATCTATTGACATCATTGGACGATTGGACATACCATCTGAATGCACAAAGCACGCTGCTGTATCCACCTGATCTGGAAGCCCCATGCCTTCAGAGTGCATCAGACAGCGCTTCAGGCAGGTGGAGGAATGATATTGGCAATGGGTGTGCTCTTGGCCACAAACTGAGCTGAACTGAGAGATTCAGATTATCCACAGGTCAACAGCGAAATCATTCGAAGTCAGAGTGTTTTAGATAATTTTATATAGTCTTAGACAATCAAACACATGTGGGAATTTCCTAAAATTGGGCTACACCAAAATCATCCCCAAAAATTATGGTTGTCGTTTTTTGGAAACCAATGGGGTACTTCAAATCTGCGACCCAGGCGCTCCTTGAGAGACAGAGAAGTGGACAAGGGCAAGTCATTGATGCAGCCATGTTGGACGGTGCAAATTACACGGTGCCGCTTGGGGATACCGAAAGGGTCATGGGCACATGTGGGCACTATGACACAGATATGCGGGGGTTCTGAAAATGGGGGCTACCTCCAAGTCACCATATGGGTTTCAAGACTGAAATAGTCTAAGATATCTTGAGGTGACAGAAAAACAATGACACATTTTAACATTAATGTTAACCAGTCTTCAGTCATGTTTGGTCCATATAGTAAGCAGCATTGGTTTTAGCAGCTTTTAGCGGCTAGTCAAGAGAACTATCCTTTCCTTCTAACCATTTGTTTTTCAACTGGAGGTCTAGTTGCTTAGGTGTCATGCGACCCGTCCGGAGGCTCTTCCCCTCTTTAAATGGGCGCAGGGCGGCAAATTTGTTCCCGTTTGGGGCTTGGACAGAATCGTCGTTGAAGCCTGTCTGATTGTCGGCAGTTCCTGAATCCTGCTCAAAGGTTAGCAAAGACGGCCATCTTGCAGCCTCTGATTTTGTTCTTTGTCCCAAGCTTGTTTTTTTTTTTGAGGAAAGACTTGCCTGGATTGGCGACTGGGAGTTGGGGCAAGTTGGGGTACCAAGGTCAAGCTCCTCCATGGTCTGATGTGTATCTCTGCAAAGAGGATCCTGCAGTTGGCTCAGTGTTTGGCCAACCCCTGAGGGGGCCCTGTAGGTTGATGATGAGTTCGGGGATATGTGAAACTACCCTTAACTGGTTGGTGGTTTCACATATATTTTTTATGTTCCATAATTAATATGGGAATATATATAATATAATATAATATAATATAATATATGGGATGTCATCCTTCCCATTGACTTTCATATTTTTCAGAGGGGTGGCTCAACCACCAACCAGCCCAATGTCTGATATCATAATCCATAGCTGCGAGTCCCTACCAGTCGTGGTTTGGTTGTCAACAAGCCGACTGGTGTGTTCCTTTGCCGAGGCAAAGCCGGGAACCAGACAATACATCACAGTTTCCGGCCTAGCTGTGGTCGTTCAGAGAAGTCAAGTCCTGTAATTGATTTGTATGATTTATGTATGTTTGTGGTATATTAAATTCATATGTCTAGAATCGTCTATACAGATTTTATGCCTTCATGTCTTGAGGTTCAAGCAATCGAACCACAGTTTTACGCCGAGTTGCTGAAAGGCCTTGGGTTCTTGGCTCAGCCTTTCAGACGATGAGTCGCCGCATGTTCGAGCGTCAATAGAAGACCCAGGCTTCAGGACGCAGCTCTTCCTGCTCAGTATGACCGCAAGGCCGTCTGATTTCCAGTCGTTTCTGAAGTCATGTCCTCAATCAATCAGTAAGTTTATTATAGTCAGTTACTGTCAGTTGAAGTTGAAGTGTGATTTGTATGTCTGGTACTCGTAGTGCAGGCTTGGCCAGAAATGAAGTTGCAGTTTGCCCGCATTTTTGAGCAAAAGACCCGAAATGAATGGGCCACAGGCTCAGCAAGACTGTTTGCTTTCAAGAGTTGGGCATCGTTATTATCTGTTTTTTTCAGAAGCGATATGCAGCTCAGATTCAGCCACACGTCCGCAGCAGCGCGCCCTAAGCTGATCCAAGCTGGTTACTTATTTCAATTTTGGGGTTAGACAAGTCCACTGCTCGCGATTTCCTGCAATTGGTGACAAAAGATGAAGGAAACGGGTGGTGTTGTACCATTGTTTCATACTGACGGAGGAGAATTGTTTTAATTCAACTATGGCAAAATGTTGGTAAAAGGATTGGGTAAATTGGCCAAGGAGAGGGGGGGAAGTTATGTAAAAGGGTGGCTCTATGTGCTGCTTCGGCTAAGGAAAGTTCTAGCCACTGCGCCCCTGGGGCGCCTCTTCGAAAGGGCAATTTCTGTCCAAATCAAATTGAGGGAATCATTAGGAATCTGAATCTGAGACTTATCCCTGGGGCGCCTTTGAAAAATATGAGCAAATTGCCAATAGGCTAAGTCAGTGAAACAGGTGCAAACTGCGCTCAGGTTCTTCAGATCATTGTTGGTGTAGGGGTCTCCTGGAAGAGGGATGAGTTGTTGATGAAGTTGGTGAGCTCGTCCACAGTGAAGTTGGGAGATCTCTGTCGAGGTTGAAGTGGAGAAAGTATGGCATCTACAAATCCATCTGAAAAGTTTGTAGGGAGCAGTAGAGAATGTTGATGAAGGGCTTTGTCATCAATGGTGTCAATGGCAATGAGGGCTGATGATGCAACTAAGATGTCCCAAGGGATGCATACAACTCTTTCAGGGTGGATATCTGGGTTGTCCTTGAAGGAGATCTGCCAGTTGTCCATGATGGTCTTCTGGCTGTACCTGATGAACTTGCCGATGTTTTCTGAGTACCACTGGCATGCAAAGAGGTGGTCAGTGAGGAGTCTCTCACTGATAGGGTACCCTGAGTTGATGAAGTCTGGTTGATCTTTGTGAAGTCAGGGAGTTTGTTTGGTAGTTTGCCTGGGTGTGGAAGTGGTGGCCAATCATCAATCCTGGAGTCGAGGTGGTAGAAGAGGACGAAGTATAGTGGCCAATCGCCAAAGGTGAAGGAGTCAAATTCCAGCTGGTTGTACTTCATAGGGAGAGATTTTGTAGATTTCTTGAAGTAGTAGAGAAAGGAGTCTTCTTCAGCAATTTCAAGCTGGTGGAAGTAGAGGTCAAACTGGAGGATCTTTGTCCATTCAAAGGAGGATGGTAGGATTTGTTGATGGAAGTTCTTCTCATTCTTGATGAACTGGAGATGAAATTGACATAGTGAGCATTGTCCTTGTCCAAGGAGTTGAGCGCATTGTTTTCCATCTTGGAGGATACCTGGGCACCAATAGTCAAAGATTGGCATGGAGATCTTGGAGTTGAAGGTGTCTGGTAGTGGAGCTTGATCGCAAGTAAAGCACTGTTGATTGGTCCCAAGGAGAGAATTGCAGGAGGTACACATTGGAGTTGATTTGGGCCAATTGGAGGTCCATTGTCAGTTCTGAGAAAGTGGTAGGTGTGGATCCTGGGGGTCCTGAATCAGAGTTGTCATCAGATCTTCTGCCATAGAAAGTTTGATCAGGGGATCTATCTGAGTAGGAGCCCTTGGGTTTACCCTGGGATTGTTTTCCTTTGTTGGACTGGGAACCTTTTGAAGAAGCAGTGCCTTGTCCTCTGGATTTGGAGTTCTTACCATAGGAGCCTGTGTCGATCTGGTAGTGGTGAAAGAGCTGCTGAGTAGTTTTGATAGGCCAAGTGCACCTTGTAGTGGAAGCTGAGGATGTGCTGCAAGGAGGTTGGCAAGGGATTGTGACATGTCCATGAAGAGGATGGGATAAGGCAAAGTTGATGATGGAAACTTGGTGTTGGAAATGTCAAAGGCTTTGTCATAGGAGAATCTGTAAGTTGTAGTTCTGTCGATGGCTGCTCCTGCAGAGTGCTGATGTCGCTCCTCTTCCTCTGGTAAAATGTTCCTGAAGATCTCAAGCAGGGTGTAGAAGGGCTGCTTGGCAAGTCGATCACTGGTGCTAGAATGTGATTCCGCTTTGACTTTGTACTTCTTCTGCTGGAATCCCCAGTCTAGTCTGTTCTGCTTGACAGGTGAAGAACTGCGTTCTTTGGTTCTCAGTGAGGAATTTAAGTCTGAGGATGGTGGAGTCTTACTCGATGATATGTTTGCTCATAGAAGAAATAGATTCAAAAGGTACTTTGGCAAGTTCACAAAAGTATTATTATTGAGGTTCCAGTCGGGGTTGTTCTTGGTGAATCCAGTGGCTGGTAGTCTTCGAAGTAGGAGAGATTTGTTGCCAAGCTTGGCCTTGAGGGTCTTGATTCTGGAGTCCATTGGGTCAATTTGAATCTGGGTGTAGTACTGCTCAAGGATGGTGTTTGAGGAAAACTGTCTGCAAGCTTCAAGCAAGAATCGATGATTGGGCAAGAAAGTGGTTTTGTGGTACTGGAGCATGGCACCCTTGACCTGAGCTTCTTGAATCTCGAGCGTTGGAGTTTCTACTGATTGTAGGTCTGTAAATGGTCTATTTTTGGTGAGGTCAATCTTCTCAAGCTTGCCTTTGCCAGGATCATAGTGAAGAGCATCTGGTGTTGTGATGTTAAGAGCTAGAAAATCTGCTCTGGCCGGAGGTGAAGCTCGTAGTTCCTGTTGGAGTCCAAAGTCCAAGTCAGAGAGCTCAACATCCTTGGCTGATAGTGCTGAAAGAAACTCTTCCCATCCTTGGTCTGTTCGAAGTTTCTTTGTAGGAGAGGAAGCTCTTGAAGCAGCTCGATGCTTCTTGATGAGTTCCATTTCTTCAGGTGTGAGAGTCTCAGTGGTAGAAGATGCTGGAGCCGAAGCCGGTGGTGGTACTTCAGGAGGAACAGGTAGTCCTTGGGATTCTTGAGTGTCTGGCTGCTTCATTTCCATGGCTTCAATGGGGAATTGCTTCAATAAAATGTGTAATGCAAGTAGAAGTGGAACATAATGAAAACATAGGGCACAGCCCAGTCAACATGTGGAAAGTGAAAGTCAAACAACATGAGGGGAAGGGAAATGACAACAGGATGCTGAGGCATGCACTACCAATGTTCATGACAGCATTGCTATCATTGCTGACAGTGTGGCAAAAGCTAAGTTCGCGCCAAATGCCGGTTATTATTTTTCTATAGTATATATTTTCAAAAATACTTTATTTGTCACGCATGAATGATTTCATGTAAAGCACGAAATCGTGTCAGTTTGTGTTTCTGGTATATTCATGCGGAATTTTTGTCCTTTAAGAAACGGCGCGCTCTGCGGCCTAGGCCGAAATTTTTAAAGGAACTGACGCTTGCTGCGTACCAGTTCTGAATCCTGCAGAAGCGGTTGGGTCCACAGGATGTCTTGCGGGGTGTAGGTCATTGGGCTACGGATCAGTAGCTATAAAATTTACCATGAAATAACATCCATAAATCCCAGCGATTTTGATGTGAACAGAAAGGGATTTCAGGAGTTTTGATGTCCTTGAGGCAGCCCATGAGCACAATCGACTGCGGGGCAGCTACTCGGCGTACCCATTTGGGTTTGTCTGAAGATTTGTCTAAATCCATAGATTTAATCGTTTTTCCCTCCTATCGTTGCGATTTTGGGTTATATCTCATTTTTAGGCACACTGTATGTTTTTTTGGACGCCAAGGTTTTGAAGCGACTCCTGGTGGTGGTCCGAGCATTTCTGGTTTGTTGCCACTATCTAGGCAGGAAATAAAACTAGATAAAATGTCAGTGCATTCCATCAGATTTTGAACATGTTCCTCACACCAGAAAGAAAGGAAGAGTTAAGAGGTGCTTTTCTGACACCCTGCCTGCAGTAAATGATTCGGTGGTCAGCAAACAATCTTGCTGCAACATTTGGATACAGACTGCAGACATTTGCAGATTAGTCACAGGAGGTCAGAGAAACAGCTCAGGTTCGCCCGGATTTTATGAACCAGCACCTGCCCCCAAGTTGTCACGTACACCCGGTCACGTGCCAGATCCTGAGCAGCTAGCCTGAGCTGTGGCTGCCATCAAGCAACATGGTTGTGTCTGAAAATGGGGCATACTGCCATACATTGCCATACCCATGAAATGGAGCTTTCAATGGCCATCAATGGTCATTTCTGATGGGGAAAATGATGATCATCTCAGAGCCAAATTCTGACGCACCACGCTCCAGGCCCAGACCTTCTCCCATCCCTGGCGGCGACACTCGCAAAGTACATGACTCAATCTGTCAATCACCCTGCTACAACCAGCAGAAATCAGAAAAACATATGGCTCAAATCATGCTGTGACCTGCTGTGGTAGGCTGTAGTAGGGTGAGATAAGGATGTACTCAGGGGATCTCAGGGGTGAAGGATGTGATCTTGATATCTCAGGTGCTGCTCGAGAACGGCTTCTTAAAAGAAGAGGTAAGGATTCTGGTTGCTCTGATTGAACCATGACCCATGACGGATCCATGGTGCTGCTATATATGGTAACATGGATCCCATCAATATACCCCCTTTATGTTAGCATATATACCATACATATATATACGTTTACATGGATCCTATGGGCATGATGAAGTCACAGCTGCGGTCGCCAATGGTCGCCAGGTCGAGTTGCTGCTAAACGATGGTACACTTTCTGAAGGAAAGGGCCAGACCTCGAAGCTTTGATCCTGAAAAAATCAAAGCGCGTGGATCCGACTATTTGGGAGATATATGTGGCCAATTATTTGGTTATATGTTTGATAACAAGGACACGTAGTATTGCCCAAAAGAAATGGGGATCTGGGTGATTAATTCGGAGGGATTTAAGAAATCCTATCTTGATTTAGCCAACATCTTGTCCTCAGTTGAGCCAACATTCCTTGTTGATGATTGGCGGTGATACTAGGCTCGTTTTATTGGGATATAAGATGATATACCCTCTGGTAAACGAACATAGCTATTGAACATGGCCATTTATAGTTGATGTTCCCATTAAAAATTGTGATTTTCCATAGTTATGTATAAGTTATGTAAACGTTTACCAGAGGGTAAGCCACTTATTTGGGATACCTATGGATACCTATGGATACCTATGGATACCTATCAGTATCAACGAGGAGACGGGGATCTGAGCGAAACAGGTGACAAGTGTCCAACCATTTGGCTGCGTTATGCGTGGGAGCAGCTGGCTGGCGATGGAGCGATAGGCTCAGGATACTCGCAAGCGAGCGATTGAGACTGACCTGTGACGTATGGAGACTATTGTGACATATAATGGCCCATGACAGGTAATATATGAAGAAATATTATATATATATGTCTACATATACATATACAATATATATATATATATGTGTGTGTGTGTGTGACCCATATGACCCCATATGTATAGGGATGCCTATAATTAACAACCAGTATGACATGATTAGCAACCAGAATATACCTATTGCTTTGAGCTGCTGAGCCAGACGGGATCTACGCCATCGCATGCCATCGCAGCCAAGCAGCTGCAAGGGGCTCCTGTGGACAGCTCACGGTCGCCGCGGGATCTAGGGACTTGGACCCCATCGCTCCTGTGGACAGCTCACGGTCGCCGCGCCATGGCGACCGTGCCAGTGAACCCCAAGCCTTTCCTCAATGACCTCACAAGCGCCGCAGCAGGGATTTGTTTAGGGATTTGTCCAGGATTTCTCCAGGGATTGTAAGGAAAAAACCATGGTATCTATACGTATCGAATATGGTAATTATATGGTAATTATGGGATTCTCTGGTTGGAGATTTTGGAGGTGGAATGTTGGTGTCAGTGGAAGCTTGGAAATGAAACAATGAAGTCCAAGTGCCTTTCAAAGCTTCCTTCTGGCTAAAAGTGAAGCGAAAACGGTCGAAAACGGTGTCCAAAAATCGACATCAGAATCTCCTGTTGGATGAGCAATCTTCATGGATTTCATGGTGTTTCTTGCTCATACCCTCTGGTAAACGTTTGCATAGCTATTGGAAATCACCATTTTTAATGGGAAAATCAACGATAAATGGCCATGTTCAATAGCAAACTGTTAAATTACCAGAGGGTACCAGCTAAGCTCACCCACTAGAACTTCCCTCACCGACCGTTGATCGAACTTTGAAGAGCGGTGTTGCTCGTTGCAGGCAAACTTGTGCTGGTGAAACTGAAATGGGGAACCTTGGACTGCGGTGATTGCAGCCACAGCAATGGAAAGTAGTTGAAAGCTGGGTATCAACAGCTTGATGAAGCAGTGTTCATAGATTCCTTGTCAATCCTTTTCAAATCCGTAACATTGAATCTGCAATCTTATGACAGACTTCAGTTTTTCATGGCCAATTCCCAGTCGAGGCATGGAGTACAAAGGCTCCCTGAAGTCCATCGACCAGTACATGAATCTGCAGATTTTGAATACGGAGGACCGGACCCTGCCGGACCATGCCGGAATCCCATGACCTATCCCATGGGATCCCCGGTGGCTGAAAAAACATCGACCTATTTCGGGAGTTGGTCAATGTTGGTCATGTTGGAAGCAGCGCAGTTTCGGGGTGGGGTGGAAAAATGTGGTAAAGCCAATCATAAACCCAATCATAAACCCACCATTTTTGGCACGGCATGCAAAATGAAAGGTTCCAGCTCCAAAATGTTGCATGTTGGGCATGCAAAATGGAAGGCTCCAGGCAGGGCCGGTGTTTTTTTAGCCACATTATGTCATTATGCCATCATATCGCAATTTGGACCGAGATTTTTTTTTTTTCGGCCTGTCTGAAAATCGAATAAGATGGAGATCCCATGGATTCCCAATTGGCAGTGGGGCTATCCCTGATTTTCACGCACACCCAAACATTGCAATTACCAGTTGATATTGTTGGTGATGTATCCCATCATATCCCATATTATCATATCCAATAACATCCAATATCCCAGTTAATATTGTTGGTTGTACAGCCCCTTAACTTTGTTGGTCAAAACCACTATGAATAATCAATGGGTTTTCTCTCATGTTAAATCCCATGGTTTCTCAGAAATCCCATAAAATTGCTGGTGATGTCCCGGTTCCCCCAGGAGTGGGTCGAGGGAAGCTTTCGTGGCAATTTGGGGGAGGTCTTCATCCGCTGTAACAACGTTTTGTGGCTCGGATGACACGAATTCGGTTGTGTCCAAAATCCGGGGGAGAATCATGATGTTTGACGTTTTTAAGGGATGTACTATACCACCGAAAAAATGGGAAGTGATTTCAGATTCTCAGATGGGTACCCGAAAAATCCACTGGTTTATTTAAGAGTCCCTATTGAAAATACTATTTGGAGGTATACTTTACCCCAATTCGGAGGTATTTTGAGATTGAATGCGCACCAAATCAAAAGCACAGCGTCAAACTACAGAGTTGCCGAAGCCAAGTCACAGGTATAATGTGCCATTGCAGGTACATCCGTGGAATGGCAGATGAGGAGTCAGACATGGACTAGTGAGAGGCAAGAGGGGCATTTTAGCTTGTGCCCACAGGAGCTAAACAGGCAAGAACCTGAGCGAAAAATGCCAGCAGTGCTTGTAGCACCGGAAAGGGCCACAGGGCCAAAGTATCCACACTTGTGGGAGAAAATTGTTTGTTACTTGTGACCGATGTTTGGAGCATGGCTGCTCCACACTAAACTGGAGTCACAGGAACGTGCAGAAACAGTTTTGCTCAGACCACAGGGCTGGCATGATTAAAGGACCGCAGCACTGCGCAAAAGTGCGAGCATGCAGCATCGCCACATTGATCAAATGTGTGGAATGAATGAATGAACACAGTGGCAAGGGCTGAGCCTTTCCGGCAACACTCAGTAATCTGACAAGGTCAATGCTGCTACATGCAACTTCCAGGGAGGAATTTGCGCTCAAGGTGCTGCCTGCAAGCCTGGAACCCAGAGAAAAGGCTGAGGTTTCGAAGGTCATTTCTTTTGACAGCTTGAAGCCAAATTGACCAAGGTTTTCACATCAGCTTTCGCAGGTTGGGTCTCGGTCTCTCATTAGCTCTCAAAAGTTGCAAGACAATACAAGATCGATCAAGATCTTGGCAGACTACACATGATTTGTACCGGACATAGTTGTAAAGATGTCCTTATATGTTCAATGGTTCTTTGGTTTCCCTCAGTTTTCCCAGTGAGAAAAGGTTTTCCACGAGCTAAGTAGCTAATCAAGTTCATTCAAGTTCGGAACTGCTTAAATGGATCCCCATAAGCTTCTGGTGTCATCAGCTCCATGGCTGGTTTTTTATGTTTTTTTCGTGGATGTTCCGAGGATGAATCACCACTTCGAATGGAGAAACTACGATTGCAGGCCACTACGAAAATCGGGATCGGGCATGATCGGACCAGACTTCATGGGATTTTGATGAATTTTGGAGGCTTCAATCCCCATTTCTATCCATTTCTGATATTCTGTGGGATGGTTATACTGAATGTTACTGATGCTCCAATGGTCAGGTTGAATATTACCTGAGCGATGAGAATTTGGCGACCGACTCTTTTTTCCAGGCGCCATGTATCATATCTGAAAACAGGGTACACATGGGTACACCCAAAGTTGATGAAGCTTATCGTTTCCCCATTCATAAAGTGATGGTTTTTTGGGTATTCCGTGGTATCCCTGTTTCTTGGACCAACATGTACGATGTTATGATGTCATTTGCCTCGCACTGTTTTGCGTTTCCCTTGAAGCCGTGATCCAGTGACAAAAATGACAACCTGAAGATTCTTTCGTACATCGCGGCAAATCAGAGCTCTAGTCTACGAGTCAATGATAATTTATTTGATCCTGACAAATATATACAGAATATTTATATATAAATGAGAGATAATGAAGATTAAACCATATTAAACATATATTTTTCATGCCTGCAAGCTTTCATTCAGGTTTTCAATCTGTTTCTTGTAGGCTTTGATCCGAGGGTCTTCTGGTGGCTGGGTGCCAGTTTCCACCTTTCAAGGCAGGGCTGGTTGGATATTTGCCATTGGAGGGTTCTTAAAACTGGGGGAGCCCAAAATCATTGGAAATTGATATTTGGATTTTGGGATACTGAGTACTACGTACCCAATTTTGAGAAAAACCCATGATGTGAAAATTGTGACTATCTCCAGTCCAAGTGATCGAGTACATTCATGAATCCAGCAGCTACGACATTTTTGGCATTTTTTGGCATCGCAAAAAATCTGGTACAGCTCGGCTCGTTGATCCCCAAAGTTTCAAAAGGGCGACAGTGTGAAAGATCTGTGTGAAGATGTCAGTGAAACATGTCTTTGTTTTTTTTTGAGATGAGTGACGCTTTTTCGTGTGGTCAAGATGGTCCAGTTTTCTGAACATCCCTGCGAGGCTGCCCCAGAATCCAACAATTGAAGGCCACTTCGGAAGAGGCATGGGCTCTACATGGCTATACTGTTGGCTTCAAAGAGCATCCCCAGATAGTCAGCCATACTGTGGCAAACCCTTAAAGGTAACCTCCAGTTGGGGATGGTGGTAAAAACTTACAACCCATTTCTAGTCAGATTGGGGATGTGTTCATTGGGTTTTACCCTCTGGTCAACTAACATAGCTATGGAAAAACACAATTTTTAATGGGAAAATCCACTATAAATAGCCATTTTCAATAGCTATGTTAAATTACCAGAGGGTACCACAGTTGAACGCTTTTGAGTCGCTCGGACTGAACATGTTCGGACTCGCCTAGTTGGTGGCCAGCTTGCGCTGGTCCACTCAGTTGCAGCTGCGCGAGTGGCCAGTGGGGGCAGAGGCCGGGCTGTGTGTTTCTGATCAAATGATGACGTGTTTCATGATACTATTTACATGGACGTAGAGAGAGTATTCATGGATGGATGTTATCATTAGTTATGATACATGATTATTAAAAAAATTGGTGTGTATGATGGATATTATATGATACATTAGTTATGATCATTACTTATCGGATATTATATGATATGATGTATATATTATATTATATAATTACAATAATTATAAGCATATATGCTATCCTTGCTTTCTGGTTGCCCAGTGCCAGGAAGTTCGTCGAAAGAATCCACTACCTGAATTGCTTGTGCCTAACTTACTGTAGCAGTGCCATGGAACAATGGCCCATTGATACATATGATTTACCATGATTTAGATATTAACAAATGGTGCTGTTCTATAGCAAAACTCTTAGTTTGCTGGAGGCTACCTGTGTTTTTTGCAACATGATAAGACGCCAAAGTTTTTCACACGGAGAAAATTCTCCATCATCGGGCAACGATGATCATACTCCATGACTGAGGCGCCAAAGCCGCCCGAGCCACTCAACGAGGACACTCTGGAGGAACGGTGTGGAGCCTCAGCTGATGGCTCTTCCAGGGATTCCAGGGTACCGAAAAGTTGGACTGTTGGGAAAGTCTAGGACTCCAAAATCTCTTCTTGGGGTACAGTACCCTCTGGTAATTTAACATAGCTATTGAAAATCACAATTTTTAATGGGAAAATCCACTATAAATGGCCATTTTCAATGGCTATGTTAAATTACCAGAGGGTAGTATATCTTGAGCTGGATATCCAATTCATGACGCCATGAAAAAACTGAAAACGGTGGAAAAGTGATCATCACTGATATCACTGGAATTCGGGGGGTCACCCTGGCATGGCGACACTAGGCCCTTGGTACTGCTTAGAGACTGCTGTGATGGCTGGCAAGTTCAGTCCTTAGAATTAGAAGCCTCGCAGAGCTAGAAGGTGCCTGCGAATGTTCTAATTTTGAGAAGACCTGTGCGGCACATTTTCTAAGGCTGTTGTTGAAGACTTGGAGCGCAGGTCATTTTGCTTTCTGAAGCGCAGGCAAGTCAGATGAAGATCTGTGAAGCAGCAAAAGAGTTGAAGAGCTTTGCCTTTTTCACCTACTTTCACTCCGAATTGAACAAGCAGGCCTATTTCCGAAGCTTTGCTTCGAGAGGCCAGTGTCGTTGAAACCTAAATCATCCTAAATCTGTCATGCTGTATGTCATAGATCAGGATTCCGTATAGTTGTGATACAGGTATCTTGTGCTTCAATCGCGAGGAATTCCAAGAACTGCTTGCGTTTGCTGATTGGCAGACTTTGACCCGAGCTCAGGGAGACTTTCAGGGGTTGCAGTGACAAAAAGTTGACGCAGATCCCATAGGATCCATGTATGGTATATATGCTAACATTTGGGGTATATTGATGGTAAATGTTACCATATATAGCATACATGGATCCTATGGGGATGGACATTTCGACTCTGAGACTTTGAGGCGGAGCAAGGCTGGTGCTGTCACCCGAAGCACTGCGTGGTATGTGTCACCTGGATGCTGCTGCCGCTACACCTACGGAGAAGCATCTGTGCCCCTCAAAAAGAATCAAGTTTGCTGAATGCTGTGGAAGGACATGTTTTGTTTGATGTTTTCAGAAAATCCACATGTTCCATTTAAACACAACTAACATGCCATCATAGTTCATCAATTGTTCATCATATATTTCCATAGATTTCTCCGTTGTGGTTTTTCTGGCCATTTTTTATGACCGGCCCATCCCCGATTTTTGGACCCATATTGGCAATGCCGTTCAGCATAGGTACAAGCCCGTGAAAAACCCGAGTGGCTCCACCATGTCGAGGCCAGCGCTCAGCTAGAAAATTCTTGGGGAGTCCGTTGGAAATTGTATGGAACATATCCCATAGGATCCATGGTGCTGCTATATATGGTAACATTTACCATCAATATACCCCCAATGTGAGCATATATGTCATACATGGATTCTATGGGTATGGAAGATGTATGGCGATGATTGGAACATATTATGGAAGTCCCACTTAACATTATTTGGACATGTTTGGAAGATATTGGAAGTGAGACTTGTGGATCAGCAAGGCAACAAGTATCAACAGGTGCTGCTGCCTTTTTGTCATCGTCAGTAGTCTTGGCTAGATGCATATTTGACACTGTCAATCAACCATATACCTATTTGGCATAAACGACCCTGCGCACAGCTTGTCAACGACTTGACTATCCAAAGAAAGTCTTTTCCCACTTCATAATCGAAAAAACAGCACCGAAAATCGTCACCAAAAATGCATAGGGTTTTCTCCCTGCCATGCCAAAATGTTCCATACGTACCCCGCTTCGGTTTTTTTCATTCAAACCCCAATGGCCCGTCTCCACTTCTGCCTATGAAAATGATCTGTGATTGGCCTGCGCTCTGGGAAAAAACACCCTTCCCGGAATTGTTTTTATGGAAACATGACCCGTTGAAACCCCAGAAAATGGTCGAAACATGTCGAAACAACCAAAACTTAACCAGGGTTTCACGGTTTCACGGTTTCACTTGCCCATAAAGTTTGCTTTCCCATATAAAATCCATTAAATTCCATATAAAACCAATCCATAAACCAATCCATAAAAGTCATATAAAATCCAGCGAAAATCTCCTGAGATCCCATAAAATTCGTGATATCTGTGTCGAGGCCCGGATCTTGGGAGACCTGTGTGGCCTCAGTAGAGATCAGTGGCCCAACAGTTCCTTGGTCCCATCGGGTGCCAAAGTTATGTTTTGAGGCCAGAAAAAATGATCATTCTTTATGTTTTGTTCATGTTAAAAACAGGGTTTTGTAAGTTTAGTATTCCACAATATCCGCTCAATTCATTTTGAGCTTTTGACATGATGATTTTTTTCACCCATGCACACTATTGTATCAGCATGTATCAGCACTGTACTCAGTTTCTCTTGCTTCGAAGTGATCAGAGCACTGGATACCCTGCCTGGTGTCGAACGTTTCGCATTGCTGAGGTGTGAACATGAACTTGTACGAAGACGAGGCTTGGATCAAGCCTCACAGCGAGATCAGCTGATGAGTCCTTTTGATTGCAGCCCTGTTCAGTCGCAAAATGTGGGCTGGCATTCCGATGATGAGGCAGGAGCTTTGCGACTATCCATTTCTTTTTCTTTTGTGGGGCTTTTTTTACCATTTGCTGCCACAGGGTCTTTTTCGGGGATGCCAAACAGATTGTCAAAGGCTCAGACCATGACAGAAGGAGTTTGGCGTGTGATGTAATTGGTGTACCCTCTGGTAAACTAACATAATAACAATGGAAATTCACCATGTTTAATGGGAAAATCAACTATAAATCACCAATTTCAATGGCTATGTTAAATTACCAGAGGGTACCACCTGTACCGTGTAGAGATCCAGTCACCCCAGGTCGGATTATTTCGGCCTCATGGGGAGCTTCTCGCCGATTTGAAATAGCGCTGAAGGAGCCATCAGTTGTAAACACAACTGATGTTTCTACTCATTATAAGATATTACAAGGGAGGGTAATTTAATTTGGGATTTTATTTTTATTATTTTATTTTTATTTTTTTTTGGTCCTGGCTCCTGGTGGCTTCTGTGGCTCCTGGTGGCTCCTGGTGGCTTCTGCGGCTTCTGTGGCTTCTATGGCTTCTATGGCTCCTGGCTCCTAGAGCTCCTCGCTCCTATGGTTGAGTAGCATTTATCTATCTATCTATCTATCCATCCATCGATCTATCTATCTATTTGTCTATCTGTCTATCTATCTATCTATCTATCTGTCTATCTATCTATCTATCTAACTATCTATCTGTCTATCTATCTATCTATCTATCTATCTAACTATCTATTTGTCTATCTATCTATCTAACTATCTCTCTATCTGATTCTATCTATATCATTCTATATCTATCTATATCTATCTAAATCTATCTATATCTATCTATATCTATATCTATTTCTATCTATATCTACGTATCTATATCTATCTATATCTATCTATATCTATATCTATCTATATCTATCTATATCTGTATCTATATCTATATCCATCTATATCTTCATGGCTTCATTATTGCCTACCCCCAAAGTTCGTACCCCCAGATCAAAATGGAAAACCATGGGTTTTGTGCGCAAATATGTGTTGACCATGTTTGACTAAATAAGCACTATTAATGTTTGTAAAGCTTGGATAAGCATTGGTAAGGCTTAATAACCCTTGCTAAAAGAGGACAGGTTTTTTGAAAAAAGTGCAAAACGGATTGGTCCTTATTTTCCCCTTGGCAAGGCCTACATATGTTGCAACCACCGATGGAAAGTTGTGCAGCGACTGAAGGCTGCCTTTTGTTGTAGGGATGTAAAGGATTTCAAATGCAATGCATATGCAATGCTTAACGGGCTTAACGTGAGTAGTTTTTAAGCTTTGTGAATGCCCATGAGATGTGCAGATTCAGTAAAGAGAACCTGTGGTAAGTGCACTTTGGAGTAAGGGGTATTAAGCCTTATTAAGCCTTATTAAGAACCAATCCGTTTGGCGCGATGTTCAAAACAATTGTTCTGTTGTAGTAAAGGGTATTAAGCCTTATTAAGCCTTACCAATCCCAATCCAATGCTCATCATTTTTTGTATTTTTGGGCTTTAGCAAGCCCGCGTTTGGTGGAATTTCCCAACATCAACCCCTGGATGTTTATTAAGGCTTCCCAAGAGCAATGCCTTTTGCAGGTGATGAAGAACCCCATATCATTTGGGTTTGATCCATTTGAAGTCTTGCTGGCGCCCACAGGCTCATTCATGGAACCTTTATTAATAAGCCTTATTACACAAACATCCCTTTCCCAGAGTAAACCTTCTCAGTTTTGACAAGGTTGGAAAACATTGGGTCATTACATCATTACAGGATCAGTTTTCCATTTTGATCTGGGGGTACGAACTTTGGGGGTAGGAGATAATGAAGCCAGCTACGTATCTATACCTATCTATATCTACGTATCTATATCTATCTATATCTATCTATATCTGTATCTATATCTGTATCTATATCTACATCTATGGCTGTATCTATATATCTATATATCTATATATCTATATATATATATATATCTATATATCTATATATCTATATATCTATATATCTATATATCTATATATCTATATATCTATATAATTATCTATATATATATATTTGAATATATATATATATATATTTATATCTATATCTATCTAAAGGTTTGCATTATCATCGGGATGATATTCAAACCCCAAGCCAACCCTGAACCAAACCTTATATAAAGAGATCTTAAACCAACTCGATGATAACATCAAATGAAACTATTGTGCATCGTTGTGCCTTAACCTACATTCCACATGTGTTTCCAAGGTGCATGTCGTGTAGTATATACACCTTGAGTATCACATTCAACCCAGCACCTTGCATGTGAAAATAGGTGTTTCCAATCTGCTTTGGGGGGGAGGCGCTGCGCCCCCCCCCCCCAATCCCCCCCTCCCGTTTTTTTTATTTAAATTCAAACTTGCACACATTTCAATACACTAGTTTGGTTAGACTATATATATATTGTATATACATTGTATATATATATATACATATGGTTGTTTATATACACAACTTTCATCCCAAAATAAACTGTAAATAATCATGTGCATGCATTTGCGTCCACATAAGTATAGTTATTTATATGTACATGTTGTATCCCTAAATAACCCCTAATCCAACCCTAAACAAACCCTAAACAGACCCTAAACGAGCCCTAAAGAAACCTTAAAACCAACCCTAAATAGACCTTAAACAAATCTAGAATAAACCATAAACCAATCCTAAATAAACCCTAAAACCAAACCCTGCAGATATATTAATTACACTTGTAAATACATTGATCTACATATGCATATAGTCATGATTAGTCATGCATGTATACCTCTATACATCTACAGTTTATAGTTTGCACATCATGTATCTCCAAAAATCAATGAACACTTCGGAAAAAAAAAAAACAATGAAAACAATGTAAGAATGAAAACCAGTAAAAAATGAATGAACACCATACAAAAATTGAAGAAAAACATAGAAAAATCCATAGACAATCTCCCCAATACCCCCTTCCTGTTTTCTTATTGAGGAAGGAAGGAAAATGTGAGGAAAATGATGAAAAACCACGGAAAAGTAATGGAAAACGAGGAAAACGTGAAGGAAGTGAAGGAAAACGAATGAAACACCAAGGAAAAGTAATGGAAAACGAGGAAAAAGTAAGGGAAGTGAAGGAAAACCAATGAAAAACTAAGGAAAAATAATGGAAAACAAGGAAAAAGTGGGGAAAATTATGAAAAACCAAGGAAAAGTAATGGAAAACGATAAAAAAGTGAGGAAAATTATGAAAAACCAAAGAAAAATACTGGAAAACGAGGAAAAAGTGAGGAAAAATGAAGGAAAACCAATGAAAAACGAAGGAAAAGTAATGGAAAACAAGGAAAAAGTGAGGAAACCGTGCCCACGACCAAAAAAAAAAATACCAAAACAAGAAAAAAAAACAAAAAAAAAATCCGCACCCTATTACAAGTAGCTGAAATGCAACACTCAAGTACTCTTGGATGTTATCAATTGATATTAAGTATAGCTGCTGCTTTGTATCATGTGTGTCTTGCTAAATATCAGTTGCCTGAAGAAATATTCCCTGGCTCCTAAAAATCATTTTTGTCCACGGCCAGCACAATCTGCCATCACTGCAGGACCGAAGCCATATCTCTGGAAAGCCGAGTATTTTCCACGACACATTGCAGGGAATTGACCTTCACTCAGGCTGCGTGACTCAAAGCAAGCAATTTTTTCATATGTTCCAATCGAATCCCACATATTTTTGATTGGATTGGTTTAAGGGAAATTTTACAGGAAACCATATAGATTGTCCCATTAAATATGGGGCTTTCCTGTAGATTTTCCCTTAAACCAAGCCATTGATCATATTGTTCATCCCATTTTCCATCATTTTCCCATGTTTTTCCCACATCCGCCAGATCTGCATGGCTCGTCAGGTGACCTCTGTAGCATGGAAGGTGCATTTCAGCGGCACTACTCCCACCAAATCGCCAAGGCTGGTTGAATGGTGGTTGATTCGTTCGGGGGCCAAAAAAAAGTACTGTAGACTGTGATGTGTATTAACTATGTTTTACTATGTTATATTAATTATATAAAGTATTGTATATATTAAATACATACATACATATATCATCATATATCATATATATATATAAATCATATATATATAATTATACAATATTATACATATATGTATATGATGGGGATAATTAAATCATTCTCCCTACTAAGCAACTATGAAATGATAAGGGATGCAACCCATAGAACTTTCACCGTGTCAGCCATGCGCAGGGTGCAGCATCCGGCCCAGCATCCTCTCCTGCTGCTTCATTGGAGAATTTGGGCTGAACTTTTCCGAAGAAATTGAGCAATGGCCAAAACTCAAGTTGATCTGTTATTATATATAGGAGATGTAGGGAGTTATAGGAAATTTATTCTAATTAAATATAAGTAATAACTTATAATATATATATAATATTATATAATTATATATTATAGGAAGCCAGTTTCCAAGCTACTAGCATAAAGGGGCGACATTTTGAGTTTTGAACACTGCTCATTGCCATGGCTCAGGAAAAGTTGTCCATATTCCACCGTCTCTTGGCTCGCAACTGGAATTATGGGAATTGGATCGGGGGAACTTTGAACTATCCCAACATAGCCAGATTTGAGGTGAATTATAGTTTACCCTCTGGTAAACTAACATAGCTATGGAAAATCACCATTTTTAATAGGTAAATCAACTATAAATGGGCCATTTTCAATAGCTATGTTAAATTACCAGAGGGTAACCAGAGATTATGGCAATTGTTGGGTTCTGATGGTGTTCCCTAAATTCGTGATCACTGAGTCACTGGGCTGTCTCAAGGCCAGGATCAATCTGACTTGGCGATACATTGTCCCACACTTACTCTGGCGCATTCTGCATTCTGCTGTTCCATGATGTTTTTTTGGGCCACTATGGGCCACTTGTATTGCTCAATCTGTTGACAGTTGGCTTAGCTTGAGGTTAGTCATAAACCGTACTGCCCTCAATCCCGAGTGGATCAGAGGCAGGCTCCTTGTACAGCGTGATGAGCTGTGGAGCAACCGTCTGGGCTGCCACTGCATGAATTCGCATGTCACTGTTTGCACTTTGGATATGTTTGGATGGGTCAAAACCCTGTACCCCTGGTGAACCTCAAAATAGCTGGTAAATGGATGTTCATCCCCCTAAAAATATGTTTGTATGATTTGGTATGCAAGTTCTTTCTGTGTTTTCACGATTGTTCATTGCTGTCCATTGCTTTCCTGGCGATTTCGTGCACAGCCCTGCGGCTGAAATTGTTTAATTCATCATGAGCGAGATGCTATGTCCAGCTTTGTAATCCGGAGCATGGTGAAACTAAGACATTGGACCGATCTCAAGTCGGTCGTGGGCGACCCCAAAAGGATCCAAAAGGGTGTAGCGTGCAGTTTCAACCCTCAGTGATCAGTGCGCAGAGAGAAGGACTCAGGTGTTGACTTTGGCAATGCTTCAGCTGCTCCTTTGCAGTACTTTGGGATCTCATGGCTTTAGAGCGATATGATCAGACTACGCCAAAGTCATGGAGATTAAAGACCCAACTTAGTTCTTTATGGCCATCAGCGCATTTGTCAGATGTTGCTGACACCACAACCCCTTACCACCAAAGCTTTCAGACACAATACCTTGACTCGACATAAATAAATAGATATACTTAGTGGATCTTAATGGTACATCAATAAGAGTGACCGAGTGACCTCATTTTTGGAGACTGTTTAACATTGTTTAACCACGCGCAACGTGCGTGTCAATTCTTGAAAGATGTGGACGAAGGACTCGAAGCCGGGAGCTGAAACAACTTGGGGCCAGTTGAAATCATTGAAAAAATATATGAAAGTTATGGCCGGACTAACAGCAGTGTTTTCAGACATGTTCAGACATGTTCAGACAATGTCAAGTTTGTTGTCAAATGCTAATGTTTGGGTTCGATCTACATGACATGTCACGTCGTTCGTTCAGCTTCAGATTTGCAGGTTGGATGGCGTCAAACCCAATTTGGAACCAGAACAGCTTTCAAAGTTGCAGGACATGCTTTGTCCGCAATGTAACCTGTGGGTCAAGATGGGGCATGATTTCGGCATGATTTTGGCATCATTTAAGGATGGTTTTGGATGATGTCTGATGATAGTGTTTGGATGGTTTTGGCATCATTTCGGCAACTTTGAATCTGATGTGTATCAAGAAGCGACCCAACTTGGTTTGTCCGAAAATAGGGTATCATAGGGGTATCATGGAGTATCCCAAAATCCATTGGTTAATCATCATTTTGATCCTACTGAAGCAGGACCCATTTGGAGGATGTAGATATTTGGGCCGCACCAGAATGCGGCACCGTTTGAGGACCGCAACAAGCTCCTGGACATCTTAGAGAATCAGGGACAGCAGATCGCAACTCGAACAATTTTTCAGACACGGAATGTAGAATCGCAAGGAATTATGTCAACATATCCAGAATCAGTAGCTTTATCATAGTCTTATATAGTCTTATGTTATCGTATGTCTTCTATGGCTGACATGTACTTCTTGATGTTTTGAGTTCCTGGCATGTGCGGTGAATGCGTGCAGTGTCAAATCAAGGTTGTTGTTGGCGACACTTCATCAGGAAAGTCAACAACCATCAACTTCCTGTCCCTTTGTTGCAGCAGAGTGACATTTTGTCACCAGTTTTCTTTCCTGCATTTAGGGAGAGAAAGGTTCCATCCCATGTTTCATCATCATCATCATCACCATCATCACCATCATCATCATCATAATCATCATCATTATCATCATCCTCCTCCTTCTCTACATCCTCCTCCTCCTCATCATCATCCTCATCATTTCCCCATGAAAATAGATGTAAAATAAAAATAAAAACGTTCAAAACAACATAGTATATTATTAGTGGGTTATCCCAATCATAGATAAACATGTAACATAGTATATAAACATCAACAAAGACAATATGAATGTAAAAACAAGATTAAGATACATAGTAAATCTGGTTATTTAACATAGCCATGGAAAATGGCCCATTTATAGATGGTTTACCTGGGTTTACCTATTAAAAATGGTGATTTTCCATGGCTATGTTAAATCACCAGATGGTAAATCTGGATAAAGACATTATGACAATAGTGGGCTAAATCTGGATGTCCAGCTGTGATGCCAAATCTGCCGAGAAGTCAGCTGAGGCTGGGTTATCCCTTTAACTTCGTCGCCCAGGGAATTGGTACCCGACGGCCATGTGTGATGACGTTGACGCCCGACCCAGAGCGTGAAAAGGCCGCTGGGCGGCCGTTGGAATGGTCTTGGAAGATGATATCATCGGGATCAGTCATCTATAAAGATTTCATTGGGGATATGATAATAATATCTATAAATATCTATAAATATCTATAATATATATATATATATAATATGGGACAATCATATTATATCATATAACTGGGATAATCATTAGTATCATATAATAGTTAAAATGATATTGGGAATATGGTATAACTGGGATAATCATCTATAACACAAATATAATATTCTAATTCTGGGCAAATTATAACGACCTCACTGTTCCCCCGAACCCTGGAATCATGGCTAATAAGAGGAATCATCCCAAAATGGCCGAACTATTCAGGTTACTTGAAGGCTCATGTTGGTTAATAACTAGATAGGTTATATACTAAGTAGTTAGCTATAGATACTATCTAGTTAGCTCACTTAGCTACATCAAACTTAGCGGACTTAGTATATGAGCTAAGTATGGGTATATACTATATATTTATATAGTATATATGTTATATATTATGCCGCCATAATCCCACTCCCCTGGATGGCAGTGACCGGTCGCCAGCTCATCAGCACCTGCGCGGGCGAAGATTGCTAAATATTTTCCCTGGGTGTTCCCCTATTATTTTGTAAAACATATATGTTGGATGATATATATCATTTGTTTATATCTCGCTTACAGGGCCGTTATGTGCTCGTGAGCAGGGAAATGATAGGATATATAAATGCACATATCATGAAATAACAATTATATACGACAAACATACTTGTATATATGAATAACATGAACCAATGTTTACAGGGCATTAACATGAACCAAGGTACAGATCATTTATGGATAACATGAACCAACAAAAGTGGACATCTTGGGTGAGCAGCAGCAGCAACCTACTTGAACGGACCTTTTTTCACCGTCGGACTACCATAGCATCGTCATTTTTCAAGCTGTACATACAACATTGGACAACAGAACTCAAAAGGATCACAGCTGGATCATGTTTAACTTTGAACATGATGCCATGCACCCGGTTCCAGGGACAAAGCACAGTCAAAAACGTGGATCCATGTCTCACGTGGTACAACACCCGACCCACTGAAGATGATCCATCACTGTCGAGAAACTCCACAACATCATCCTTCTGCACGACATGGCCTCCAGGGCCTTGAGCACGAATGGATGTGAAGCATTCAGAACTTCCCAAGAACTCGAAGAGCCAATCCATCTTGCCTTTGGCAACCTTCTTCTCCTTGAAGAGAGACAAGCCCAGAACCACAGCTTCTTCGCACAGCTCACGTACCTGAACATGAATGATGTCGCTGAGGATAGATTTCTCAAAGCTCTGAGTGAAGTTGTTGACCGGGTTGCCAAATCTCTTGACGAGGCGGTGCTTGCGTTCATGGGCAAAGCACGATAACAACGTCCCATGACGCCGGAGGAACTCACCAAGATGAAGAGACATATGACATTTTGGGACCCAATACTCGTCCCCGTGGAGTGCCAAGAAGCTATCCAGATAGCCTTTGATGGCTTCATGGAGTTCAGTCCATGAACAAGACCCGCCGCGATTCAGTGTAGTTAGATGATCGAGAACTTCACACAGTCTGAGAGATGTCTGGCATGATGGGCGCACAGACGGATGATCTTCCCAGACAAACTGCACGATGAAGACTCTGATGATCCCATATGCACTGAGCAGCTCACTGGCCGAGCACTTCAGTGGCTCCACTGATGTGTCCCGTTTCCCAAAGATCTTGTTTGGCCTGGAGCCCTGAAACTGCTTGGGCCACTCAAATGATTCCAGAAATTTTTCCAGCCGGGTTGAAAGCCCAACCCGTTTGAGAGCATGCCACAGTAAAGCGAACTCACGATTGGCAATCCCATGCACCAGAAAGACGTGGAACCAATCGAACATGATGCTTTCAGGAATCACCAGGCCATAAGTTGGGTTGCGCAGGAGGCCAGAAGGTTTCCAGTTGTAGCCCAACTGGGTCTCGAGCTGTGCGAACTGCACACTTGTCAATTTCCCATGCTGCTCCTCCAAGTACTTGACGACCTTCTGCACAGATTCGTTGGTGTGCAGCCTGAACTGAGAAACATCAGTGCATGCCCCATGCACAAGACCCGTGGTGTCCACAGCATTGTCCCATGAGTACTTGCTGATCACGTTCGAACAGCGACTGCAAAAGAGCTTGCCAGCCGCCCCCTTGGATTCAACGCTCTGCTTGATTGCAACCTCATCAGCAATCAAGACGCTGAGCTGTGAGAAAAACAAGAAGGCTTCACCGCGGTAGCTGATCATAATCCCATGCTCGAAGCTGTGCTGACCAAAGAAGGTGTCCTGGGCTGTCATGACAGATATAATATATAAGTTGCCACTGTATATACATGATATATGATTATAATAGCTGGCATGGTATTATAAATAATATGCGTGATCGTGTTGGCACAACATAATATATATATATATATATTGTACATGTTATATAGTTTAAATATTATCATGTTTATAACATAAATACATAATATATATATATATATTTGGGTGAACAAAAACACTTGCAGCAATATAATATACTGAGCATCCAAGAGCTGAGGCCAAACATTGGTGACCCCACCGAGCGAAGCTACCACTGTAGATCTGATGACTGCCAGTGGGAACCAACACTTTTCCTTGCTCAATGCTGTAGCCCCTAGCTGTTTCCATGAGAAATAGAACACCTGAAGTTTCCTGTTGTTCTGGTGTCTCAATGCGTTGCCCAAGACAAGTTCGTCACAGTACACTATCAAGTCCCATTTCTTGTTCAACTCAGGCCTATGCTTTGAAAAAGCCTCGTCCAAAACGGGCTTGAGACCATCACAGTTTTCAACCAGATATGCCCACAAACTTACGGGGTTGAGCATGGAGACCGAATAAGTTTCCTTCGTGTCCCCAGTCAAAGTCTTCTCAAGAAGGATGGGTCCGAACCTGGTGCTCATCTGTGACAGCTCAAGCTCCCTGGCCCGCTTGATGGAAGCCCTTGACGTGGGCTCATCCTCAGCCAGTTTCCCAGCTTCCTGCAGCTTCTTCAAAGTATCTGCCAGCCCACGCTGAGAAACATATGAAGATCGACCCAGATCAGCTAGCGAGGCCATGTTTTCACAAAGGCTGTGAAAAGTGAAAAGACTGATGTATTGTGACCAGAATGGACTTGGTATTGTGTCATAGACAACGATAATTTAACTATAATTCATGTTGGTTTCATTATATATAACATAATTTGATGAAGACAAACCTATAATGATAAGATCTTGGACTCAACCAAGTTGACTGTATGAGGCATTGTGGTGAAACAAAAGAGGAAACCTTTTTTTATTTTTTGAGTATACGATGCTGCAACCATGCCATGCTATATGACTGCCAAACCAAATGACACATTCCATGCCATGAAAAAGAAAGTGAACCCCGGCCGAAGGCTTACTTCAAAGTTTATGCATGGAGTTGATGATATGTACATAAAGCAATGTATATAATATAAACATATAAAATAGATTTATCATAATATATATATAATATATATATAACACATAGTAAATGTATACATTAAATATTATATATACATATCTGATATTATATATGATATTATATATATAATGTTATTTAATCTAATATATATATATATATATCCTACATGAAGCTGACATATATAAGACAAGCGCACACTCCAACTTTTTTTTACCACCATCAGCGACGCTCACGACGATCATCATCCTTTCCTCCAGCAACTCGGGCAGCAGCCTGGAGTCCATCTGCAGCCAGAACATCCATTGGGACGCTCCTTCAGTCTTTGGTCCCAACTCAATCCTGGGATCTCCTTGCCACGGCTTCTGGTGCCACTGTGCATGGATGGTCTTTTGATGACCTTGGGTCCATGTTCGGCCGTGTTGGCAGCCGGCCTCTTCATGGCTGCAGGCTTCTTCATGGCCCCACGGCCACGGCCACGCCCGCGGCCACTGCCACGTCCTCCACGTCCTCTTCGGCCACGGCCACGTCCACGGCCACGTCCACGATGAGGAAGATCATCATCTTCTTCAAGTGGATCTTGGCCCCAGGCAGCTGCCATGGCCTTGGCCTGCTTGGCTGGTGAGATCGGCGGTGGCACATTCACCGTCTCATTGGCCTGTTGCTCAGCTGCCACCACAGCAGTTGTGCTCACAGATGGCTGTGCTGGCGCCTGAACCGCTGGCGCAGGTGCAGGCACATGCACAGGAGCTTGCACAGCAGCTGTCTGCTGATTTGCATGCTGGCCATCTCCCCGCACGAAGGATGCCATCATCGATGCGAAGCTTGCCAGCTGCGACATCTGACAGGTCGTGCTGTTGGCTGCACTGCTCATGGCCTGAGGCCTCATGTCTTTGTGGCTGCCACGCAAGGGGCCGACAGTATTTGCCTTCAGGCTGTCTTGTCGTCCACATGGCCCTTCATGTGCATAGGCCTTTTGGTAGATGTCCTTCGGCAGGTCCTTGGGGTTGCCGTTGTACACATCTATGTGCACCCGACCACAGTCCTCCAGTTTGGCCTTCTTTCTGGCTTCTGTGATGTAGTTCTTGAACAGCTTCAGGTTCAAGTTGAAGGTCTGGGGGTCACTGAGCTCGTCGTGTCCGCACTGCTTCAGCAGTGACACCACATGGCCCTTGCTCGGCTCGCCTGGGTAGAGGCAGCCAAGCTTCATCAGGACATCAGACAGCTTCCTGAGCTTCACCTTCAAGCCAAGTGCACCATCGTGGATCATGTCCCACTCCTTGCCCGTCAGGTAAGGGACCAGATCCACCATCACTTGGCTCTTTCCAGAAGCACTTGCCGCTTTGTTAGCTCTCAGATATGATGTGCTGAGAGCCACCAGCAACTCTGACGCCTGAACTTCACTGAACGGCATTCCCTGGATCACCGCAGTCAGTGACTTCACCTCCTCCTCAGTCACTGGCTTGTTCAAGATCTGCGCCTTGATCGACTCGGCATGGC